CGGTTATCAGTCGTGCCATGACATGATGTTCCGCTTGATTAATGTTTCACCATGTGCTGTGCGGTTCTGAGGTCAGTGCGCTTGTGTGCCTTCGGCACTCTTGCCATCACAGCCGGCGGCGCAGCTGCCAGCAGCTTGGCCCATGGAGACATCGCAGCCACCACAGGCATTGCCACAGGTGCAGCCGCAGTTGCCCATGTTGCAACCGTCCATGTTGTTGGCCATGCCGCACATGTTGTTTCCCCAGCCGTCCATGCAGCCCATGTTGCAGCCACCCATGTTTCCGCAGCAACCACCCATGTTGTTGTACCCACATCCCATGTTGCAGCAGCAGCCACCCATATTGCCACAGCCTTGGAACCAGTCTCAGGCTATGGCAGCAATCAGACTACATAGTGCCCTTTCCCTCTCAGGAATGGAGAGTTTCTGCAAATTGCACATGGCCATACATCTCCGTCCAAACCAAGAAGCATTGACCATACCCTTGGCCGTACATCTGTTGCATCTGACCACAGCATTGTCCTTGACCTCACTGACAAATCTTCACAACGAGCAACAAGTGATTTGGATTGATTTAGTCGTACTCCATGGAGTAATTATTGCCAAAGCGTGTGGAATTGCACCAAGAAAAGTGGCCTGAGAACTTGGGAAGCAAAATGAAGCCAAGAACATCAAGAACATCAAGAACATCAAGAACAAAGGACGCTAAGGACGCTAAGGACCCATCCAAACTGGCCATCCTGTGGGATATTAATTTGCAGGTTGACGCTCATGTCGCCCGAGTTCAGCTTCCGCTGCCTGACACCGCTACGGTGTGAGTGCACGCACACATGAACGCACAAGGGAATGGCATACATTGGGCATACAGCGGCCTAAATGACGCTAAATGACTCTGTTACATTCTGTTACATGACCAAGAAAAAAGTGTCTCAAAACCCAATCGCCTTGATGCAAAAAGCTGACCCATTCACGGGATGTGTTGCAATGTGTTGTAGAATCGATTGTTTTGTTGGATGCTCATCATATTTCACCATGGTTCATTTGACATCATCTAACAGAATCGAATCTAACATCATCTAACCGAATCTAACCAATTTTAGGATGTTTAGCTCTGGTCAGCACCGACTAGAGACTAGCCTGATTCGTCTGGCATCTTCTGCCAGAGCTACAAAGACCTCGTTGGTCTCCAGCCTCAATCACACAAGTCACCAACTGACCAATCTGAGCGCAGCACACGAACCTACTTTCATATTTCAGATTGATGGGCCTGTTAAGCAATTTCTGCGAGTGCTCAAAACGATTCTAAACTCATCATCTAACCTGGTCAATGTATGTCTATATTCATTCTATATTCATTCTATATTCATTCTATGTCTATATCATTCTATATCTATTTCTATACCTTGTGTCGCTTCATTTTGGATGAGGTGCTTTTACAGTGTTTTACAGAGCGGTAGCTATGGTAAACATTGGTAAGCGGCATGAGGTGCTGACTCCACAGAGACCTGGCTCTCCACCACTCGGCCGCACAGAACCTGTAAGGAAAGGTGTCCCGGCGTCCCCATGTGTCCCGTAGATTCAGCACACACAAAACAACAACCAGATCACACCTGGATCGCACCTGGTGGAAAGTTGTCCCAATAGGTTCCAATTCCAATTATTGATTCCACTCCAAATATCTCCGAATAATGCAGCGATGTGAATGCGTACAACGCATGTGATGCATGCGAATGTCAAGCATTAAGTATCAAATGTGCGACATACTTGCACAAGAATGCGCATAGTGCGCTGTGTTCACATTACGCATCCTAAGCAACTCATCTGATATTGTGTGGAATGCAGGCACCTTGTGTCTGTTTGCGTGCTTGCAATTTTTGAAATGGAGCTCTCCGGGCTAGTGGCATATTCGTGGATGTGAATTGTGCAAGTCGTCTAGCCAGCAACAGCCAGCATCAAGTCCGCGTCTAGTCTTTCTATGTCTTTCTATGTTTTTCTAGTATTTGCTGGGTATGTGATCTGCTGATATCCCGTGATATCTGCAGTACCAGTATGCCCTATCTCCAGTACCAATATGCCCGGCACATTGCGCATCCCAGATACGCAGGGTGTGGATTGCAATGATTGCATGCGTTGTGCAGGTTGTGTTGTATGGGATGGCCTTGGTCATGGTACCGAAACGATCCAAGAGGCATGTGCTTTTTTGCTTTTTTTTTTGGTGGCTATATTCAAGGTACCGCATGTTATCAACCCTGGCCATTTGGGAAAGGACATGGCACACAATAGAGCTGATAGCTCTGGCCTGGAACACAAGACGGCGCTCAACATGTAACATCATGTAACGCATGAAAAAACATGGTCAAGCGATACCGCCCGAATGATATCTGATGATATGATATAATATGATAATATATGATATAATATCCAGAGCATTGATTGACATCACTATCTTCAAAATGCATCCTGCTTGCACTCAGCCTACCAATTTCTCAATCCTTTCGTCCTCTCCAAGTTCACCCTGACTCAAAACTTGCGGTTTTCTAAGGTTGCTTCCAAGGTGTCGTCAATGAGACCGATAAGCTCTTCCATAGTGTTGACCTAGAAGGGTCAGACCCAGCTTTTTTCCAAGGGACATGCGGCTTCCTCTTCGTTCGACACGCATGACGCATGATCAAAATCTAGCAGCTCTGCAGCGGGCAAAGAACACGACTGCTCATACAGGTCAAACAAATATCCACATCAAACACATTCAAACACCCTTTCGGGCAAATTGGTTTGGATTGACAGGGTCCGCTCGGTCCGCTCGGTCCGCTAGGCGCCACACCCCATAGAACTTGGGGCTGAAGTTGCGTCTGAAATATTTGCCTGAGCTATGCCACTGAAAGACAGTGCTTACAGGATGGCAATCTGCAATGGCTGCAGACTTGCGTTGACAAATTTGACAATGAAAAGGGAAACAATCTTCCATTGGACTCATTGGACTCTCATAATGTGTCATACTGATGCCACGTTTTAAAAGAACTTCTCACCATGACACATCCTTTCCGCAGCAACAACGCATTGCTACATACGTTCCCTCCAGTATAGGCAAGGTGCCGAAGTAAAAAGGAATGAACTCTGGATGGATGCCTGCGGGCAAGAAAAACTGGTTGCACAGTCAAAGGGTTTCAAGAGTCAATTTGCATCAACTGGATTGTGAGAATCGATCAGAAAGCCTGTGCGGTCTGGATCGCCACAGTCGTGCTTGAACGCATGGATGAGAAGGTTCCTGGCTTTGGGATCGTGCCGTGAGGACATGGCCGAACCCTTTCTGCTGCGAGTGCTTGTGTCACCTGGCACAGTGGGCCATGCATGGCCATGCAGCAACGTGACAGGGAGACATCTCAACTCTGAGGCTTAGCATAGCCCAGTCCTGGCCCATTTCAACAGGATCTTTGGACAAGCGGAAGGGACATGTGACATGCATTGCTAATCAATGTGAGTTTTCTATACTATAGGTTCAGGACTTGAATAGGACTTGAAGTGCGCTGCCAGCTGTTGCGCGTAAAAGTAAACACATACCCTGAGTCGACGGGGTGAAGGGGGTTCTGCCTTCCTATCAGCTGGCTAACAAAGAAGCATGCGAAATGAATCAAAACTAAATAAATGTATGTATGTATGTATGTATGTAGGTAGGTAGGTATGTATATAGGTATGTAGGTATGTAGGCATGTAGGTATGTAGGTATGTATATATGTATGGATGTATGGATGTATGTACGAACGTATGTATGTAACCAAGATGGGTAAATTCTCTAAGCCCCATTGTGACAGCACAAGCAAGCGATGCATGACATGATGAGGTTTTAGTAGTGAAAACCCACTAGTCTCATCTATATAATGGATTTGCTTCCAAGATACGATAAGAACTTTATACTATGTAATCTGTATATCTATCATCTATATAAATAAATAAATATCATCAATATACAAACATATATAATCATACATATATTTAATGCATTTATACATTGGTGCATGTATGGATGTAGGGATAATGCAATGCAGCGTAATGGACATGAACATGTAAATGCAGTGTAAGGTAATGCATGCATGTATAGTGAGTATAATCTGCACTTGCATGCGCTTGTACTATTTTCATCTATTTTCAATAAGGTATTGGCGGTATGTGTCTCGGTCTGCCCCAATCCTCGAAATTGAAGGCAGCAAACAAAGGCTTTCCATCGCCAACGTCGCAAATGTCTTCGACCTGGATGCAGTCGGATTCGGATAAATGCGGGATTCAGTCGGGATTCGGTTGACACAGGTCATCTCAGCTGTGGGCAACTCGTTCGACTGTCGTCAAAGGTTCAAAGGTCCGGGCACTGAACACATCCGTGTCCTGCACTTCGATTTCCTCACGCAGCTGTTGCAGCATATCGGTGCCTTGGAGGACATGGGTTCACCAGGAGTTCACAGTGAAAGAACCAGCAGAGTTGACGCAAAGGCATGCAAACGATTGCAAAGGCAGGGATGTCCAGGCGTCTTAGAGCTAAAACCACTCCCTTGATGATGGTGATTAATTACTATATAAGTAATTGGCTGATCTCTTTGGGTTTCCCGACAAGACTCCGCCAGAAACTACATGAAACTACTTTTGGAACACTTCTGAAGGCCCGGCAATCCTCCATTGCATCTTTCATTTCAGGATCTTCTTCCTCAGGCGCCTGCAGGATGTCTTCTTTAAACAAAGCTGCGAGTTGAATCTTTTGAGCAATGCTGTGCAGTGCATGCCCGCAATTGCAGCCCCTGCCCCGCCTGCTTTGAATCTTTCCCTCAGCAACCCGAGCAACCAAAGCACAACCAAAGAGCAAACAAAGAGCAACAACAACAACAACAACAACGATGCCATGAGACATGACAACACTAGTTCCTACGAAATACGATAATTTGCAAAAACTTCCCTACGACTTTGGCGGGGGGTTGCCACCCACCCCCCACTACCAGTCCCACCACACCTCCCCACCGACCACTCTACCCATCCCACCACCAACCCCCCCCATGTTTTTGTTTTGGACCGAACCCTACCAGGGCATAGCATGAGGACTGAGCGCAGTTTACATACGCTGTCAAGGCTCAAGAGAGAGATATAACCTTATAGCGACCGACTTACACTTAGAACCTATTCTGGGAAAAAAAATAAAAATGGAGGCAACATGATATCGACCCGGTTCTAAGTGTACACTTAGAACCCAAACAAGTCAACACTTAGAAACAAATCATGATATTTTTCATTAACGCTTAGAACCTACCCCAATTTTTAACATATATCCAGTTTGTAGAGTGTAAGCCGGTCGCCCTATGTATATACAAATAAAATCACCGAAGAAATTGTGGTGAAATTATCTTGGGGCTTGCTCTTTTAAACATTTCTCGAAGGTTTCTCCAAGTTTTGTTGTTTTTGATGGCACCCGCCGCATTCCGCAGCCATGCCGAAACTTCCTTATGTGTATGCCAGTGTATGCATGCATGCATGTATGGATGTATGGAAAAATCGCAGGTAAACAAAGTATTGAATGAAATATGTACACAACTTGGGATGCTTCGCTGCAAGATTTATGTGGTCGTAGTATTCCTTGGGGAACCTAACACTTAGAACCTCTGCTTCTTGAATATGCATTCAAAAAAACATCAAAATAACGCACGACACACACACACACACGTATGTATGTATATATTGTATATACGTATACATATCTTTGGAAAAGTTCAAACTATCAATAAATGTGCATGCATGCATGCATGCATGCATGCATGTATGTACGTGTGGATGGATGTATGTATAGAAAAATCACAAATAACCAGCGTATTGAATGAACTATGTACACAACTTGGGATGCTTCGCTGCAAGATTTATGTGGTCGTAGTATTCCTTGGGGAACCTAACACTTAGAACCTCTGCTTCTTGAATATGAATTCAAAAAAACATCAAAATAACGCACGATCCTCCCCCCTTTAAGGGGGGGGTAGGAGGGTGTTAAACACTGAAATATTTCACTTTGGGGGGGGTCACCCGCCCCCCACGCCTAGAAATATTTCAGCTAAAAAATTCTGGTTTATAATGGTCTCCCCGGGCCTGGTTGAATTCAAGGCTGAACGTCAAACTCTGAAGGCTGTTTGACAAGTTCACTCTCTTATTTATTTTCTTGGAAACTGGCAGTTACCATTTACATCCATTTACCTAGTTGTGTGGTTTGAGCGTGGGCCCTACCCGCGTAAGGACTAAAGGTGTTTTTTTAGGGGGGGACCCTGCTAGAACTGTAAAATACCATGGTTTTGCAACTACCCCCCCTCAAAAATTTCACCGTTGCATTTTTCTATGTGTAATTATGTGTATATATATATGAATGTATGAAAGTATGAATGTATGAATGTATGTATGTACGTTCAAAATATTTCAAAATGAAAGGGTGTGCCATACCATCTCTGGGCTAAAATGTTGCATCCGGAGGACCTACCCCCACATCTTTTGGACGCCCAAAAAACATGTGGGGGGGGTGTATTTCATGTGGTCAGGTGAAATATTTCTCAGAAATTTCTTGCCTTTACCCCCCCAAATATTCCAGGGTTAAAGGGGGGGGATAACGCACGACACACACACACACACATGTATGTATATAAATATATATATATATATTTATCTATTGTATATATACAATCCCTATGAACATACACTGGAGGGGGTCCTGCAAGCCATTTTATAGACATAAAATGGTTTTCACTATAAAATGACTAGACGCTGCTTATAAAATGAGTGGCCCCAACCCAAATGAAAACATTATATTTTGAGGGGGCCTGACCCCAGAACACCTGGAAATCACTTATAAAATCTCTATAAAATGACTGGTTCCCTTTACAAATGGTCAAGGCGCAAGCCAACAGATTTCAGCACCTCACTTAGAATCAAACCATTTTGCCATTCCTTCATTTTGATTTTGCCATTCCTTCTTTTTGTTTCCAATGCCGCCCAGTGCCAACCCTAGCCTTTCAATGGGCAATTTTGGAATAGTGTGGGCAGTGTGGGCTACTTGTCCTTAAACCTTCAACCCACCATGAAATAGGTGATTGAGCCAGCATCTGCCATCCTTTTGTATTCCTGGATTTTGCTTCCAATGCCTCCAAATGCAAGCCCTGGCCTCTCAATGAGCTATTTTGGAACAGCGTGGGCTACTTGTATGATTTCCAAGTGCTGCCACTATAAAATGGCTGGCCTTAACCTTTCAACCCACCATGAAGTTGGTGATTGAGCCAGCATCTGCCATCCTTTTGCATTCCTTGATGCCAGCCCTGGCCTTTCAATGGGCCATTTTGGAATAATGTGTGTGGCTACTTGTATGATTTCCAAGTGCTGCCACTATAAAATGGCTGGCCTGAACCTTTCAACCCACCATAAAATTGGTGATTGAGCCAGCATCTGCCATCCTTTTGTATTCCTGGATTTTGCTTCCAATGCCTCCACATGCAAGCCCTGGCCTCTCAATGAGCTATTTTGGAACAGCGTGGGCTACTTGTATGATTTCCAAGTGCTGCCACTATAAAATGGCTGGCCTCAACCTTTCAACCCACCATGAAATTGGTGATTGAGCCAGCACCTGCCACCCTTTTGGGTTGAAATTGCCTGGAAAGCTGGGTATTCAACCCCATCACCAATTTCAAATTGGGTTGGTGGGTTGAAGCTAGCCATTTGATAGTGGCTAGATTTGGGAATTTGCGCAAGTAGCCCACAAGATAGCACAATGTGGGCTACCGTGTTTTAATGTGGGCTACTTGCACAATTTCCCAAATCTAGCCACTATCAAATGGCTAGCTTCAACCCACCAACCCAATTTCAAATTGGTGATTGGGTTGAATACCCAGCTTCCCCGGCAATTTCAACCACAAAGAATGGCAGGTGCTGGCCCAACCACCAATTTCATGGTGGGTTGAAAGGTTCAGGCCAGCCATTTTATAGTGGCAGCACTTGGAAATCATACAAGTAGCCACACGCTATTCCAAAATGGCCCATTGAAACGCCAGGGCTGGCATCAAGGAATGCAAAAGGATGGCAGATGCTGGCTCAATCACCAACTTCATGGTGGGTTGAAAGGTTGAGGCCAGCCATTTTATAGTGGCAGCACTTGGAAATCATACATGGTGGGTTGAAAGGTTGAGGCCAGCCATTTTATAGTGGCAGCACTTGGAAATCATACAAGTAGCCACACACTATTCCAAAATGGCCCATTGAAACGCCAGGGCTGGCATCAAGGTATGCAAAAGGATGGCAGATGCTGGCTCAATCACCAATTTCATAGTGGGTTGAAAGGTTGAAGCCAGCCTTTTGTGTGGTGGCAGCTGGGCGGCATTGGAACCAAAATGAAGGAATGCAAAGAAATGGTTTGCCCATCTTCCCTGAGCATGTCTTCACATGGCACAGGGCCGGGCTCTCTTTCAGAGGTTGTGCCCCCACCCGAGGCATCTTTGATCAAATGATCAATGGCTGTGGATAAGAACAACCTGGATCATGGCTGCACTGCAAAAACCTGAACAAATCTCGACAGATTTCACCTACAACCTTAAAATCACTATAAAATAGGGTAAGTGACCCCCTGAAGGGCTGCAGCTGGAGGTACATAAAACGAAATATGGCATGCCTTGACCCCTCTCATTTTATAGAGGATATGTTCATGGGTATTATATACATATCTTTGGAAAAATAAACTATCAATAAATGTTCATGCATGCATGCATGCATGTATGTATGTGTGGATGGATGTATGGAAAAATCACAAATAAACAGCGTATTGAATGAAATATGTACACAACTTGGGATGCTTCGCTGCAGGATTTGTGGTCGCATTCCTTGGGAAACCTAACACTTAGAACGGGGCGCGAAATTAAGTTGGCATTTTTTTGGGGGGGAACATTTTTTTTTTGGTCGTCCAGGCTCCCTTCCTTGGTTTTTGCAGCTAAAATCTCTCATTTGCTGCATTTTGCAGCTAAAATCTCTCATTCGCACTGTTCATCAATTTTTCCAGTGGTTTCATGATTTTTTCCATGGAGCTAGTCGAGTTTTCCATGGTTTTCATTGATTTTTCCATGATTTTCGTGGAATTGTCCAAGATGTTCATGGATTTTTCCATAGTTTTCTTCAATTTTTCCATGGTTTTCTTCAATTGCTCTATGGTCTTCGATTGTTCCGTGGTGTTCTTCCATTTGTCAATGGAATGTTCTATGTTTTTCTTCAATTTTTGTATGGTCTTCATTCATTTTTTACTGGTTTTCATTCATTGTTCCAAAGTTTTCATTGTTTTTTACATTGTTTTCATTGTTTTTCCGAAGTGTTCATTGATTTTTGGAGATACATGATGTGCAAACTATAAACTGTAGATGTGTAGAGGTATACATGCATGACTAATCATGACTATATGCATATGTAGATCAATGTATTTACAAGTGTAATTAATATATCTGCAGGGTTTGGTTTTAGGGTTTATTTAGGGTTGGTTTATGGTTTATTCTAGATTTGTTTAAGGTCTATTTAGGGTTGGTTTTAAGGTTTCTTTAGGGTTGGTTTAGGGTCTGTTTAGGGTTTGTTTAGGGTTGGATTAGGGGTTATTTAGGGATACAACATGTACATACAAATAACTATACTTATGTGGACGCATATGCATGCACATGATTATTTACACTTCATTTTGGGATGAAAGCTGTGTATATAAACAACCATATGTATATATGTATATATATATACAATATATATACAAGAAAACAATATACATATAATAGTCTAACCAAACTAGTGTATTGAAATGTGTGCAAGTTTGAATTTAAAAAAAAAAACGGGAGGGAGGGGATTGGGGGGGGGCGCAGCGCCTCCCCCCCAAAGCAGATTGGAACCACCTATTTTCACATGCAAGGTGCTGGGTTGAATTTGTTGAATGTTATATAATATACTACACGACATGCACCTTGGGAACATGTGGAATGTAGGTTAAGGCACAACGATGCACACTAGTTTCATTTGATGTTATCATCGGGTTGGTTTAAGATCTTTTTATATAAGGTTTGGTTCAGGGTTGGCTTGGGGTTTGAATATCATCCCGATGATACTGCAAACCTTTTAGATAGACATAGATATATAAAATAAAAATATAGATATATAGATATATAGATATACATATAGGTATATAGATATATATATATACATATATAGATGAATATATATATATAGATATATGTATATATATATATAAATAACTATATATATATAGATATAGATTTATAGAGATATAGAAATATACAAAGATATATAGAGATATAGATATACAGATAATCATATAGATATATAGATATATAGATTTTTAGATATATAGATATATAGATACAGCCATAGATGTAGATATAGATACAGTTATAGATAGATATAGATAGATGTAGATAGATATAGATGGATATAGATAGATATAGATAGATACAGATAGATATAGATAGATTTAGATAGATATAGATAGAAATAGATAGATACAGATAGATATAGATAGATATAGATAGATATAGATAGAATCAGGTAGATAGATAGTTAGATATTTAGATAGATAGATAGATAGATAGACAGATAGATAGTTAGATAGATAGATAGATAGGTAGGTAGATAGATAGATGATACTCAAGGTGTATCTAATGCACAATATGCACCTGGTGAACATGCTTCACTGATAGATTGATCGATAGACGATAGATGATAAATGAGCCATAGGAGCGAGGAGCTCTAGGAGCCAGGAGCCATAGAAGCCATAGAAGCCACAGAAGCCGCAGAAGCCACCAGGAGCCACCAGGAGCCACAGAAGCCACCAGGAGCCACCAGGAGCCACCGGAGCCACCAGGAGAAAAAATACCCCTCCCTTAGAACGTCTGCTTCTTGAATATGCATTCAAAAAACATCAAAATAACGCACGACACACACACACATGTATGTATATGAATTTTTCTATTGTATATATACATATCTTTGGAAAAATAAACTATCAATAAATGTTCATGCATGCATGCATGTATGGATGGATGTATGGAAAAATCACAAATAAACAGCGTATTGAATGAAATATGTACACAACTTGGGATGCTTTGCTGCAAGATTTATGTGGTCGCATTCCTTGGGAAACCTAACACTTAGAACGTCTGCTTGCTCTTTCCTATATTTTTCTGCTGTTGTTATTTTTTGCTGGTTAACGGGGTGTCACGACCACAACAATGGATAACGGGGGATCATGACCTTGGAGCTACACTCCGGGGTTACACAACAGGGAAATCATAACAGCGCGCGCCAGGAGGCCGCTTAGTGCCTCGGTGGACCTCAAAGAGGTAACCACAACTGGAAAAGGAGAAATCGTGGACATTTTTTTTTTGAAAAAACTGATTTATATATTTTTGTTTAAAAAACCTTTTGATAAAACTGGACAATTTTCAACATCAATGCAATACCATTCATTTCGAAAATTTCAATACCACAGAAAATTATAGAACATGTATGAGCATAAAACATGGTTTAATATGGTTCATAGTTTATTCTTCACCCGGTTGTTTGCAGTAACCTTGTAGTAGCCCACTGTCTTGGCGTGCGCAAGGTTGAAAAATAACCCTTGCTTGCGCCATCGTCTTGAAAGCGATGCACCCCCCTTCTGCAGTTTAAACCGGCGTGCCATCTGCGTGGCAGGCGTGGCACTTACGGCGCTGGGCTGGCTCTAGTGGCGCGCTTGGTTACCGGTGGCTCCGCTCCACTTTGTGTGGCAGGCGTGGCGCTTGCTCGACATCGACGTGCATTCTGCGTGGCAGGCGTGGCACTTATGGCACTGGGCTGGCTCTGGTGGCACGCTTGGTTCCCGGTGACGCCGCTCCACTTTGTGTGGCAGGCGTGGCGCTTGGCGACATCGACGTGCATTCTGCGTGGCAGGCGTGGCACTTGTGGCACTGGGCTGGATCTGGTGGCGCGTTTGGTTGTTTGGCGCCGTTGTCGCCGCGGCTGTTTGTCTGGCAGGCGTGGCGCTTGGTGGCATCGTTGCGCACACACAAACTTCCACACAGACCTCTTTCACACACAACCTTGAACACACATCATTTTACACAATTCTTTCGTACACAACCTTGAACACACACACACATAGCGCTTTCACGTAAACTTCAACACACAGCTCTTTCACACGCAACCTTGTCACACACACACACAAGTCTTTCACGAGCTTGAACACACAAACTTCCACACGCACACACACACACACCGCTTTCACACACCTTAGCACGTTGCCCACGCAGAACGCAAAACGTACGTTCCGGAACGCGTGTTCCGAACGCAGGGGTGTTTTTAATGGCTTTATGGATCCCAGAAGCGTCCGAATCCTTTTTTTGCGCCCTGCAAAAAGGATCCACTCTAGCACATGGAGTTTCTCAAGAAGTTTTTAAAGGCCCTAAAAAAAGGATCCGTGTTTGGCCTGCCCAGCGCTTTCTAAAGCCTCTAAAAAAAGGATTCCGTCTTAGGCCTGCCCGACCTAAGGCTTTTTGTCCAAACGGTTCTTATCAGCAACACAAAGCAGCCCGAAACCCTAGAAAAATCATTTTAATATCTCATATATCCCCTTCCCACTAACTCTTATGCACTTATCCACTTAATTATCAATCCAAACATATCCCTACGCCCCACTCTAATATCACCAGCTATTATCACCATTAATGTCAACCCCGGATTAATAAACCCTGGTATATTAATTAGGGGAGTACTCCTCCAATAGGCATGATCTAATACTTAAATGGTACCCTCCCAATCAAACAGCCTAGGGGTTTATTAATCCAGGGTTGACATTACAGCCCTACTTGGATTGTCATCGCGTCAACGTATTCGGGTGGTATGCGCTTTCTATAACATTCCAGGGACCTCTTTGCCACGAATCTTGAAGGGAATATATCTCTGCCCCAGAAATGTTCTGGTTTCATTCCTCAAGCCACGTTTCGCGAATCTCCCCGGCTTAGCACCATCAAGGTCCAAGTCATGGCCCAGATCGCTGATCAGCCTTCTGGTGGCTGCATCCACCATTTTGAGCCCACAAGAGCTCCAGATCCTTTTTTTAAGTGGGGGAAAAAGGTTTCTCTGTTCAAACACCGGAAATAAATTGACTTTATATCATTGGAAAAAAGGATTCACTCAGAACGCGCGTTCTGGAACGCGAGTTTTTAAAACGCGCGTTCTGAACGCCCAAACGTACCGAAAGAACATGCTAAGTCACACACACACACACACTCCTTTCACACGCAAATGGTCACACACAACTCTTTCACACACAGCCTTTCACACGAAACTCTTTTACACACAACTCTTTCACACACGACTCTTTCACATACAACATTGTCATTGTCACGCACACAACCTTTCCTTGTCACACACACAATCTTTCGCACACAGCTCTATCATGCACACAGTTCTTTCACACAATCTGTCTTCCACCATCTCCTATTTCTTTCCCCATGCCATTGTCACACCTGTTTTGAGCTTGTTGGAAGAAGTTGACATGTGGGGTTATCCGGTCCTTTAATTTTGGACCGAACCCGGCCAGGGCATAGCATGAGTACTGAGCGCAGTTTACATACGCTGTCAAGGCCCAAGAGGGAGATATAGAGGTAAAGCTTGTACACTAGGCGCTGCACTGACTAGCTATTGGCCGACAGAGGAAAACTAGAGCTTGCAGCCTGGCTGAATAGGACACTACTGCCCCTCTTCGCCCAACCCCCCTCAACCCCCCCCTCGGCCTCACTACCCTACCCATCCGACCACCACCCTCAACCCTTCACAACCATTCCCAAATAAAATTTCAACCAACCCCGAAATGAAACCAAACCCAGCCCTAATGAACACAAAGTAAAGCTTGAAGCATCGCAAACGAACCCTTGACCCACCCGAAATAAAAAATATATAAAAACCAATATATAAAAACCAACGCTGCATAAGTTTCAAACCAAACATAAATATATATATATATAAGTATAAACAAACCTCATATAATTAAATAAATTCCAACCCTGAATCTAGCCCGGCACCACGTCTAAATAAAACTTAACTAAATCTGAAGCAAACTTTAATCATAACTTAAACAAACCTTATATATAAGTAAACCCTAAATAAACCTAGGCAAAACTCAAACAACCCGAAAAACATCCTAAAGAAGCCTAAAGAAACGAAAACGATTTAAATCAACCCGAAAGATGCCCTAAACATCCCTAAACCAACTTTAAGTAAACCCCGAACCAACATTACACAAACCCTGAACCAACCGTAATAGACCCTTAATAAAACCAAAGCTTAACCTTGAGCAGACCCAAAACGAAACCACCTACCAAGGAGGCAAGTTTCGGGGGAGGGGGAGGGGGTGGCTGAGCGTCTAGAGACTCTAATCTGTTGGATCTGTCGGAGACTTGGTATCAGGAGCCCACCTTCGACGCTGCCATTCTCACCTCGATCAGCACTTTTTGAACCACTGCCACTTCCTATACAGAAAAACGAAGCAAAACATGCTTTGCCAGCTTTGAAGAGCGACTAAGTTTGTGGATTCAAATGGATTCAGAAAAATCTATCGCCATCTGTCTGCAGTATGAGTCGCCATTCGTGAGGGTCTTCTGTTGGTTCTGCGGGTTCTGCTGGTTCATCTGGCCCTGCTGCTGTTGCATGGTAGCCATTTTCTGCTTCTCTTTGTACTCCACCTGGCCATGCTGCAAAGTCACAAGCCAAACTGGTGAGCAAACCGGTGAATATAGTTTAAGTCAAACAGTGATACAATATTCCGGCGCTTTTTCCCAGTGGCCCAAAGTACGCAGGCAGGTGCACACCTTATTAAGGATAGGTTCAGCCTTGCCAAGGGGGTTCGCATTTTTTGCTGTGGGCATCTCTAGGCACCTTCTGCTTCGCCCATGGCACAATTCTCCTGTGGTTCATGCTATCTTAATCTTCTTACGATACAGTATCTTACGTGGTATACTTGCGGATCTTACACTGAACTTATCGGTGCCTGTTTCCGCTGCCAAGTCTGAAGCTCCATCTGCCTGGAACCAGTTGTGAGGCAAACATTCACATCAGCCAATTAGGGCCGGGGCATGCTGGGCTATAAAAACAGCAATGATCAGGAATGCATCCTATGGACAAGCATGCGAGCGAAACCGCCCCTCATTTGAAAATCTGCAAGCAGCCCATGTATTCTGTGAGGGTGGAATCTGCAGAGCTGTTCCTTCCGTGAATGACAAAGAGTGACTTGGCGCAAAACCCCTCTGTGGCAGCAATGAACCAGGCCAGGCATGCCAGACTTGCCACCTCTCCTTGAACCTGCACAGAAAGCGGGACAGAGCATGACACAAAGCCTTGCCTCCGAAGAACTCAGCCCTCCAAGAAGCTGACAATATGAAAACAATATGCATCAGTCTGTATCAATATGTAGCACCAGTACCGCACAAAGCGGTGGCGGAAGTTTCAAAGATAGGAAACTATAGGAGAGGTGAATGGCTGTGATGCATGGATGGCAGAACCGGTCCACTGATGGATCGAAAGGTGGTTGGAGTTGTGCTTTTTGGAAGGCTGCCGTGGTCACCTCACCCACAGCTGCTGGATGTATTGCGATGTAGTGTAATGTAGTTGTAGCTGTAATTGCTCGGTAGCCTAGTGTAGTTGTAGTTGTATTGTGGTTGTAGTTGTAGTGGTGGTGTGTGGTAGTTGTGGCTGTGGCTGCAGTTGTAGTTGTAGCTGTAGTTCTTGTTGTTGTAGCTGTAGTTGTAGGCGCGCGTGTAGTGCAATTAGTGGTAATGTAATGTTGTCTTGTGTAGGTGTAGTGCAGTGAAAATGTAGTTGTAGTTGTAGCTGTAGTCGTAGTTGCACTGTAGCGTAGTGGTCGTTGTAGCTTTAGCTGTGGCTGTAGCTGTAGTTGTAATTGTAGTACTGGTTGTCGTTGTCGTTGTTGTAGTTGCAATGTCGTGTGGGGCCGTTGAACGCCCAAAAGTATCGGGGTTTAGATGAGGGGGGAGGAACACACCAGCTCCGGACCACTTTTGGCAGTTGAGATGTCGAAAAAGTGCACGCCGTTGTGGCGCGAAGCACGTTTCCAAGTCAAAATGTACAAAACACTATATGTTCGCTCCACTTTTGGAGGTTCAGATGTCGAAAAAGTGCACGCCGTTGTGGCGCGAAGCACATTTCGAAGTCAAAATGTTAAAAGCACTGGGGGTTCGGACCACTTTTTGAGGTTAAGATGTCGCTTCGCTTCGCTTCACTACACTACATTACACTACACTACACTCCACTACACTACATTACACTACACTACACTCCGCTACACTACAACTACAACTACACAACTTCATCCACTACACTCCACTACACTCCACTACACTACATTGCACTACACTACACTACCTTCCACTACACTTCACTTCACTCCACTCACCCACTACAACTTACACAACTCACACTCCCCTACACCCACTACAATCCCCTACACTCCACTACACTCCACTACACTAAAGGACACTACACTCCACTACACTACCATTACACTACACTACACTACACTTCACTACATTACACTACACTACACCCACTACACTACAACTACAGCTACACAACTACACTCCACTACACGCCACTACACTAAATTACACTACACTACACTACACTACACTACATTACACTACATTACGCTCCACAACACTACAGCTACAACTGCACAACTACACTCCACTACACTCCACTACACTAAATTACACTACACTCCACTACACTCCACTACACTAAATTACACTACACTACGCTACCTTCCACTACACTTCACTACATTACACCACACTACACTCCACTACACTACAACTACACAACTACACTCCACTACACTCCACTACACTCCACTACACTCCACTACACTACATTGCACTACACTACACTACATTCATGACATTCCACTACACTCCACTACACCACACTACATTACACTACACTACATTACACTCAATGACACTGCATCACAGATAGACAGGTAGACAGCTAGACGGATGAAGGAGAGAGAGAGAGAGATAGATAGATAGATCGATAGAAAGAAAGATAGATAGATAGATCGATAGACAGATAGATAGATAGATAGATAGGTAGGTAGGTAGGTAGATAGTCAGAGAAAGAGAGAGAGAAATAGTGAGAGAGATCAATCACCTTTCGTTCCATCAGTGGCTTCGCTCTGCCATCCCTGATTCACAACAAACAGCCTCTCCTATAGGTTTCCTATTTTTGAAACTTCCGCCACCGCCTTGTGCGGTACTACTGGTAGTACTGGTTGTCGTTGTCGTTGTTGTAGTTGCAATGTCGTGTGGGGCCGTTGAACGCCCAAAAGTATCGGGGTTTAGATAAGGGGGGAGGAGTTGTGCAAAGGATTTTGATAGGTACAAGACACAAAGCATTCGGCCTGCAACTACAAAATTGGATGCATGGTCCCATTTTTGCAACTACAAAATACAGAGCACAGCCCGGTTTGATTCCGAAAACAATTCAAGATATGCACCACAAAGACCTATGCATCTGAAGTTGAAAAATAGCTGAAGATCGGAAATGCTAACATGATTTTTCCAATAACATTTTGTAGTTGGGTCTATGCCATCCAAAGTTCCGACCAACATACTTTTCAGAAAACATTTTGCATTGTAGTTGTCATTGATTGAATTTGATTGGATCAAGTGTTGACCCTGTACTGGCAGCGGGTTAAAACTAATTATAGGTTAGGCACTGGCAGCGAGTTCAATTACAGGTTAAGCAGTGGCAGCGGGTTCAATTACAAATTGTGTATTGGCAGTGGAGGATGTGAATATTCGCCGGGTTGCAAACTACAAATTGTTCTTGGTCAAGTCTGGAGGAGCCACAAAATGCAACTGATATTTTATGGATGTTTCAACTTCCTCAACATATATAAACTACAAAATGCAAATGAGATCTTATGTTGGATGCTTCAACTAACTCAAGATATACAACTACAAAAATCAACAAAATACAAATGAGGATGTTAAATGAAACAACTACAAAATGAATGCAACTACAAAACTGTTGGCCCAACTCCACTTTTTTGTACAAAACGACCCCTGGCTGGCAATCTGTACTGTAGCCCAAGTCCTCCCCTTTTATGTAGCTGTTATTTGATCCCGGATCCAAAAGTGGTCCGAACGTGGTGTGTTTTTAAAATTTTGACATCGAAATCTGCTTCGGGCCACAACGCCGTGGACATTTTCAGCATCTCAGCTGCCAAAAGCGCTCTGGAGCTAAGGTGCTTTGCATGTTTTGACTTCGACATGTGCCTCGCGCTGCAACGGCGTGCACATTTTTCCAATAGTGCTCCGAGATTGAGGTGCTTTGCGCATTTTGACCTCCAAATTCTCTTCGCGCTACAACGGCGTGCAATTTTTCATCTCTCATCTCTCCAGATGGCTCCGCACCCGCCGCTTTAGCGAGCCTACTTTTCGACACTCCAGAGCCACAAAACATTGGAAAAACACAGCGTTTCGGGGCTTTTCGACCTTTTCGCGCGCCCTCATCTTCTTTCTTCTGACTCTTTCTCTTCTCCGATCTTCTTTCTTCCCTTCTCTTCTCTGACTCTTCCCACCTCTGCTGTTTCATCTGTCCATTTTGTCGGAAGTTTGACTTCTAAACTTCCTTCGATCAGTGATTGGTGACTGATGGTGACTGGATGCTGGAAGCCCGTGCTGCTGGCATTTGGTGGTAGCCAAAAGGTCTCTCAGCTCCGAACCAATTCGTTGGCTCCAAATCCTCTAGGCGCGTGTCAATTTTCTTCTCTTTGATCCACTTCCTCGCCATCGAACTATGAGAAACATGCTGGTGGATGATGGTGCATGCGCTTGCGCCACTTACAAAGGAATCTGCCAGGAAATGCTATGGAGATTCATGGAGTTGCATGGAGATGCAAGAAAAACGGGTACAGTTATAAAGTAGCAACGCATCAAGAACACACTGAAAAACAAATCATTCATGATGGTCCTTACACTGGAAACCGTTGTACGGTCCTCAAATAATCGCTAGCTTCTGATTCAGGCCTCCAACCAAAAGTCACCTACGGACGTGGAACTGGCACGGGAAAGGCCTAATGTCGAAGCATTACTTTTTTTGCTGCCCGTCACTCTCTCCAGTACTTTGGGCAAACGGCCTCTCTACGGAAAGAAGCCGGGCTACTAGTTTCAGTCAAAAAGGCGCGCACAAAACCGAATAAAATAACTTGTTTGAACTGGGATGAACTGGGTGGGTATGATGACGTAAATTCATGTAAATTCCAGCTTGCTGGCAAAGTAGGTTCATGCATACATGTAAATAATACATACACGTGTAATATTATATACTGTAAGTGCATCGAATTGATGATGGACATATGTGTCACCCGCATTATTCGCAATTCAGAATGACATGTGGATTTTGTATAGTTTTGTTATGTTCAATCATGGCATGTCATGGCACTTGCAGCGACCAGCTCGGCCAGTAAGGAGATTTCTAGACAGCCTTGTCTCCGCAAGAGACACTGGGATTCACCCAATTTCACCCAGCCTCCTCGAAGCCCTCAGCCTTGCTTGGCAAAGTCAAATTTGCGAGGCAATGGCCCAACCTGGCCACAGTCACAGTATGTCAGTCACACAGGTGGAGAATCAACAGAAATCGCCGGAATCTGATCTGGTGAAGCAGGAAAAAAGCGACTCCTGGAAGGTCAAATCGTCTGAGTATGTCTGAGTGCTACAAGACCCAAGGGACCGGATCCTAATGCATTCTAACGATTTCCAAGGATTCTAAGGAGGGAAGCGAGGCTTAGAGCTTGGCAGCCTGAGCAAATCAACGAACTAAGCTTTGGATGCTTGGATTGCTATGCCATGCTCTGCCAGCAGTGTCCTTACAAGATCTTACAAGTATGTCTCAATGCCTCAAGAAGATTCAAGAAGCGCATCCTAATCAAAGCGTAAGTGATACTGCGGAGTTTCAGAACATTTTGGGGCAAACTTAGGGGCTGCAGCAGCTTGTCATGACAGGAAATTACTGACTGCTGCAATCTGCTGCAAACAAGCAGCACCTCACAAACTGCTAAAAACGGACAGTCCGCCCGTTTCGTGTTTCTCTCTCCCGCCTCTTCAAGCTGTAGGGGTCCAGAACAGGCTGAGCTATCAACGCACAACATTTCACTTGTGATTCCATAGGCCATTGGCCGCACGATGCGCCAGTCCCCTCCTTCCAAAAAAAACACCGTCTTGGTCGCCCTTTAAGATCTTGTTAGGTGTCGCGACAGGAGGCGACAGGTAGATACCATTGGGCGCTTCCAACGATTCACATCAAGTAATTGATTATATCATATCTAATTATATATCAAGTAACTAGCACATTGACTGCAAACTGTAGCAAACTCGTCATGCAAACAGGTGGGTGCCACACAAATGGCGAGACATCAGGAACAGGATCTCGCCGGAACCAAATGCCTCCAGAGGTGGCGTGGCTGCATGGATTCTTTTGGTTCAGTTTAGGCTCATGTCACAAGATTTTTTTTCATTTCTCTTTCATGTCTCTTTTCATGTCTCTTCTCATTTCTCTTTTCATTTCTCTTTTCATTTTCTTCATATCTCTTTTCATGTTTCTTTCATGTATCTCTTCATTTCTCTTTTCATGTCTCTTTTCATTTCTCTTTCATGTGTCTTTTAATATTCCTTTTCATTTTCCTTTTCATATCTCTTTTCATTTCTCTTTCATGTCTCTTTCCATTTCTCTTTTCATTTTCCTGTTCATATATCTTTTCATTTCTCTTCCATGTCTCTTTTCATGTCTCTTTTCATTTTCCTTTTCATATCTCTTTTCATTTCTCTTTCATGTATCTCGTCGTTTATCTTTTCATTTCCTTTTCATATCTCTTTTCATTTTTCTTTCATGTCTATTTTCAGTTCTCCTTTCATTTTCCGGTTCATATCCCATTTCATTTCTCTTTAATGTATCTTCTCATTTCTCTATTCATTTTCCTTTTCAAATCTCTTTTCATTTAACTTTCATGTCTCTTTTCATTTTCGTTTTCATATCTCTTTCATTTCTCTTTCATGTCTCTTTTCATTTCTCTTTTGATTTTCATTGTCATATCTCTTTTCATTTATCCTTCATGTCTCTTTTCACTTCTCATTTCATTTTCCTTCTCATATTTCTTTTCATTTCTCTTGTCATTTTCCTTTTCAAATCTTTTTCAAATCTTTTTCATTTCTCTTCCATGTCTCTTTTCATTTCTCTTTCATGTCTCTTTTCATTTCTCTTTTCATGTATCTTTTCATTTCTCTTTTCATTTCTCTTTCATGTCTCTTTTCATTTCTCTTTTGGTTTTCCTTGTCATATCTCTTTTCATTTATCTTTCATGTCTCTTTTCACTTCTCATTTCATTTTCCTTGTCATATTTCTTTTCATTTCTCTTTCATGTCTGTTTTCGTTTCTCTTGTCATCTTCCTTTTCAAATCTTTTTCATTTCTCTTTCATGTCTCCGTTCATTTATCTTTTCATGTCTCTTTTCATTTGTCTTTTCATGTCTCTTGTCATTTCTCTTTTCATGTCTCTTTTCATTTCTCTTTTCATGTCTCTTGTCATTTCTCTTTTCATGTCTCTTTTCATTTCTCTTTTCATGTCTCTGTTCATTTCTCTTTCATGTCTCTTTTCATTTGCCTTTTCATTTTCTTTTCCATGACTCTTTTCATGCCTCTTTCATGTCTCTTTTCATTTCTCTTTTCATTTTCCGTTTCATATCTCTTTTCATTTCTCTTTCATGTCTCTTTTCATTTCTCTTTTAGTTTTCCTTTTCATGTCTCTTTTCACTTCTCTTTTCATGTCTCTTTTTATGTCTCTTTCATGTATCTTTTCATTTTTTCATCTTCCTTTTCACATCTCTTTTCATTTTCCTTTTCATTTCTCTTTTCATGTCTCTTTCATGTCTCTTTTCATGTCTCTTTCATGTCTCTTTTGATTTCTCTTTTCATTTTCCTTGTCATATCTCTTTTCATATCTCTTTCATGTATCTTGTTATTTCTCTTTTCATTTTCCTTTTCATATCTCTTTTCATTTCTCTTTTCATTTTCCTTTTCATTTCTCTTTTCATTTTCCTTTTCATATCTCTTTCATTTCTCTTTTCATGTCTCTTTCATGCCTCTTCTCATGTCCCTTTTCATGTGTCTTTCCATTTCCCTTTTCATTTCTCTTTTCATTTCGGTCTTCACGTTTCCTTTTCATGTCTCTTTTCATGTCTCTTTACATTTTCATTTGCATTTTCCCTTCTCTTTTCATGTCTCTTTTCATGCCTCTTTTCATGTCTCCGTTCATTTATCTTTTCATGTCTCTTTTCATTTGTCTTTTCATTTTCCTTTTCATTTCTCTTTCATTTTCCTTTTCATATCTCTTTCATTTCTCTTTTCATTTCTCTTTTCATGTCTCTGTTCATTTCTCTTTCATGTCTCTTTTCATTTGCCTTTTCATTTTCTTTTCCATGACTCTTTTCATGCCTCTTTCATGTCTCTTTTCATTTCTCTTTTCATTTTCCGTTTCATATCTCTTTTCATTTCTCTTTCATGTCTCTTTTCATTTCTCTTTTAGTTTTCCTTTTCATGTCTCTTTTCACTTCTCTTTTCATGTCTCTTTTTATGTCTCTTTCATGTATCTTTTCATTTTTTCATCTTCCTTTTCACATCTCTTTTCATTTTCCTTTTCATTTCTCTTTTCATGTCTCTTTCATGTCTCTTTTGATTTCTCTTTTCATTTTCCTTGTCATATCTCTTTTCATATCTCTTTCATGTATCTTGTTATTTCTCTTTTCATTTTCCTTTTCATATCTCTTTTCATTTCTCTTTTCATTTTCCTTTTCATTTCTCTTTTCATTTTCCTTTTCATATCTCTTTCATTTCTCTTTTCATGTCTCTTTTCATGCCTCTTCTCATGTCCCTTTTCATGTGTCTTTCCATTTCCCTTTTCATTTCTCTTTTCATTTCGGTCTTCACGTTTCCTTTCATGTCTCTTTTCATGTCTCTTTACATTTTCATTTACATTTTCCCTTCTCTTTTCTTGTCTCTTTTCATGCCTCTTTTCATGTCTCCGTTCATTTATCTTTTCATGTCTCTTTTCATTTGTCTTTTCATGTCTCTTTTCATTTCTCTTTTCATGTCTCTTGTCATTTCTCTTTTCATGTCTCTTTTCATTTCTCTTTTCATTTCTCTTTCATGTCTCTTTTCATTTGCCTTTTCATTTTCTTTTCCATGACTCTTTTCATGCCTCTTGCTTGTCTCTTTTCATTTCTCTTTTCATTTTCCGTTTCATATCTCTTTTCATTTCTCTTTCATGTCTCTTTTCATTTCTCTTTTAGTTTTCCTTTTCATGTCTCTTTTCATTTCTCTTTTCATGTCTCTTTTTATGTCTCTTTTCATGTCTCTTTTCATGTCTCTTCTCATGTTTCCTTTCATTTATCTTTTCGGTTTGTGACTTGTTGCATCTTGTGGCTACTCAGCCTGCTATTTAGCTTGCTATTTTCATCATCTGTCACATACTCAGAATATCTCAGAATTGGAATCATCTTTCATCGGTCTGTCATTGGCCATCGGCCATCAATTTTCTGTCTCCCTTCTCTCTCTGGAGCTCCTGCCTTGTTCTTGCTCTGTGAGCTCGGCCACCGGAGCCTCCTCGGTCTGTGCATTGGCCTGGCCACGGGTGATCTCAGAGTGGCAAAAGAGACAAACGCGTATGACATGAGTGTGACATGAGTATATGAGTTTTGTTTGCTGTGTGGTGCCAGGTCTGGAAAATTCCAATATGTGTCTTGAAGACTATTGAATCTGTGCAAGTCCAAGTCTCAAGTGACCCATGTATGTTCCTTCCTATTTCGGTACAAAAAAAATTGAGATGTAGCAGAACCCTCAGTTCATGTCCGAGTCTCAGATCCCTATCAGCATTGAATCCAACAGCGGGACAGCTCGGATGTTCAACATCCAAGAAAGAGCATTACAAAAACAAATAGCGACTACGGCAATAGTGCAGGAACACTGAGATATAAATATAAACTTTTTTTTTGATCTGCATGTGGTGAGATGCAGTACGTACATACATACATACATACATACATAATTACATACATACATACATACATACATACATACATACACACCGACATACCGACATACCTACATACCTACATACATACATACATACATTAAAACCCACATACATACATACATGCATACATGCATACATCATACATGCATGCATGCATAAATACATACATACATACATACATACATACCATACATACCATACATACCAAACATACCAAACATACCATACATACCATACATACCATACGTACCATACGTACCATACGTACCATACGTACCATACGTACCATACGTACCATACATACCATACATACCATACATACCATACCGTACAAACCATACAAACCATACATACCATACATACCATACATACCATACATACCATACATACCATACCATACCATACCATACCATACCATACCTACATACAGACAGACAGACAGACAGATATACATACATACATACATACATCCATACATACATACATACACACATACATACATACATACAGACATACATACATACATAACATACATACATAACAAACATAATATACATAACATACATAACATACATAACATACATCAGATACACAACATACAAAACATACATAACATACATCACATACATCACATACATCACATACATAACATACATAACATACATTACATACATTACATACATTACAAACATTACATACATTGCATACATTACATACATTGCATACATTACATACATTACATACATTACATTCCTTCCTTCCTACCTACCTACTATACATACCATACATACCATACATACCATACATACCATACATACCATACATACATACATACATACCTACACACCTACATACCTGCATACCTGCATACATACATACATACATACATACATACATACCTACACACCTACACACCTACATACCTGCATACCTGCATACATACATACATACATACCTACATACCTACATACCTTCATACATACATGCATGCATACATACATACATACATACTTACATACCATACATACCATACATACATACCATGCATACCATACATACCATACATACCATACATGCATACACACATACACACATACATACATTACATTACATTACATTACATTACATACATACATACATACAAGTATAGTACATAGATACGCATGCGATTGTGAATGTATATATTTACACATACGCTTACAATTACAAGCATGTCATCTCTATTATATGATTAATATTAATTAAAAAATGATATATGATATATGTTGACCATTGTTGACCGATAAGAGCTACCACAGTTCAATTGCACGTTCCGTATCTTACAGGTTCTTACACCTTCAAAAACACTGCGGCTGTGGTAAGGTGCAGAAGGAGAGGTGCCTTCTCCAAGCGAGCTTGTTTCTCTTTCAGCAACCCGTCTTTGACCTCAGAATGACGACGCAGCACCAAGGACCAAAAATGGATCCAAATGGACTAAATATGACATAATATGATTAAATGGATCAAGGGACTGGATGTAATCGCCACAAGACCAAGGCCCACCCCCGGCCACCCAAACGATGTGAAAACACGTGCGATATTGCAAGCGCATGACATCGCGAAAGAACTTGCAGCTACACATACTCCAAAGTACAAGATCTAATATATAGCCATGTCATGCAGTATGAAACGGATTCGGAATATATATATATAATTATGATCAATTAATGCCAATTATGTATATAGCACATAATCTATAATTAATGAACAATGCCTGTACATGATAAAACGCAACATTACATTCCACGACGTCACACGCACAGTATTTATAACATATTAAAATATATTGACACAACCCTAATAGCTGTAACAGCGAGCACGATCTAGAGCACGATTTTTGGCACGAAGGAGAGCACCAAAAAACACGATCCAGAGAACGATGTTTGGACAAGGAGAGCAATGCACGAAGGAGAGCGCCAAAAAGCACGATCTAGAGCACGGTTTTTGGCACGAGGGAGAGCACCAAAAAGCACGATTTTTGGCACGAGGGAGAGAACCAAAAAGCACGATTTTGTGCACGAGGGAGAGCACCAAAAAGCACGATCTAGAGCACGTTTTTTTGCACGAGGGAAAGCACCGAAGAGCACGATTTTGTGCACGAAGGAAAACACTCAAACAACGTTTGCCCAAAATATAAAGAAATCCTTTTTTTGGCTGTTACAGCTTTTAGGACGGACTCAAAAAAAAATATATATATATATATTCATATAAATATATCTATAGAATTACTACATCTATATTATTATTTCCACTTATTTCCATTTATTTCCCACATATTCCCACATTGACGTGTGGGGTTTCTGTTTTTAGTACTTTTTAGTTATGTATCCGCTCTTTCCTCCTCCTCCCGCCCTCCTCCTTCCTGTCCTCCCAACAAAATCCTCACTCACACTCACACATCGTCACTCACACACACGCACACACATCATCACTCACACACACGCACACACACACACATCATCACTCACACACTTGCTCAGAAACATCTTTGCGAATTCTGATGTGGAATGCATCATACGTGCAAAAAACACTTCAATTAAACCTGACAGGAGCGACTTGATGACCAGAAGTGAGAAACAGTGCGAAGTAAATCACTCTACGTCCTTGCTAGATAAATCAAATCATTCTGATGCAGCTCGATCATCCTCTATTGACAGCGGAAATTCAGATTGCGAAAACCGTACAGGTACTGAAGTGAAATCAGTGAGTTTGGATGTTTTGGTTTGAAGCAATTTGAAAAAAGAAACCATCGGCAAGGTGGTTCTTGGGTTAGCCAAATCCCATCTCGGAAACTTGATATGAACATTGAAGCAGGTACGTCGATCCAGCGTCCCAGATCGATATCACAGAATGTCATAGCCGTCTTCGTTGGCTGCAGAACTATGACATTCCCTGCAGCCCCCTGCTAAATTAGAAGTTTTACATCTATTCAGATGGTTCACGCACACACCCTCCCGCAGGAGGGCGGAAAAAATTAAGGTCCAGACGATGAAATGAAAATGAAGAAGGAGGGAAATGAAAATGGGGTGAAGGTGAAAATGAGATGAAAGTTACTTAACCAGGACGCAAAGAGGGGAACGCAAAAGAAGGAAGGAGAAAACACCGACACATGAAACCTAGCCCAAAGCGGGCAAACCCTGGAAAGGCAAGGGAAAAGAAAAGCGAAGGCAGACGGACACGGAACAAGACCAGCGGAGGGGGGGGAGGACGGAAGCGCCTGAACCAACCTGACACGGCGAAACCTACGCCTACCTCGGCACGCGAAGGACCCAACCTACCTGTAGAGGGGAGAACACATGAAATAAGGGACCCATGGGGAACTAGTTAGTGAAAAGATGCATCCACATGTCATGCAAGATTCGTGGTCAGGCTCAAGGCCCTCGGTTTTCAAGTCAACCCTATGGACGGCTTAAGTTGTCAACCCCTGAATTACGTGCACAATTGAACCTCACCAACGACCATAAAAAGAAAGGATCACCACACCTGCAGGAATGTCCTGATGCCTTCACATGTTCACATGTCATGTTGAAGTTGTTGAGCTCCGTACTCTCTTGGGCAAAGTTGGAAAAGGAATTGTTGTCGTGGCTTCCAGCTATGCATATCAGCACAAAAGAAACGGTGATGCCAGGCACAGCGGCACGTGGTTCAACCCACACTTGACGACCGACTGGTGAGAAGCTGAAAAGTGAACGGCTGTTTCACTTTTCTTAGACGAATTACTAATTCAAAAGTGTCAATTCAGAGGTCATTTCAAAATGTCAATTCTTTGCTTAGACAAGCATTCCCCGAAGGGTTCATGCCACCTTGACGAATCCAGCATGAACCACACACTTGCTCAGAAACACCTTTGGATGTGGAATGCACCGTACGTGCAAAAAACACTTCAATTAAACCTGACAGGAGCGACTTGATGACCAGAAGTGAGAAACAATGCGAAGTAAATCACTCTAAGTCCTTGCTAGATGAATCAAATCATTCTGATGCAGCTCGATCATCCTCTATTGACAGCGGAAATTCAGATTGCGAAAGCCGTACAGGTACTGAAGTGAAATCAGTGAGTTTGGATGTTTTGGTTTGAAGCAATTTGAAAAAAGAAACCATCGGCAAGGTGGTTCTTGGGTTAGCCACATCCCATCTCGGAAACTTGATATGAACATTGAAGCAGGTACGTCGGTCCAGCGTCCCGGATCGATATCACAGAATGTCATAGCCGTCTTCGTTGGCTGCAGAACTATGACATTCCCTGCAGACCCCTGCTAAATTAGAAGTTTTACATCTATTCAGATGGTTCACGCACACACACGCACACACACACACACCCCACAACACACCACACCACACCACACCACACCACATCACATCACATCACATCACATCACATCACACCACACCACACCACAGCACAGCACAGCACAGCACAGCACAGCAAAGCACACCACCTCACCTCACCTCACCTCACCTCACCTCACCTCACCTCACGTCACGTCACGTCACGTCACGTCACGTCACGTCACGTCACGTCACGTCACGTCACGTCACGTCACGTCACGTCACGTCACGTCACGTCACATCACATCACATCACATCACACACACACATCACACACACACATCACACACACACACATCACACACACACATCACACACACACACACATCAAACACATCACACATCGCACTCACGCATCATCACTCACACACACATCACTTACACACACACACACTCATACAGTCATACAGTCATACAGATCACTCACACATACACACACACACACTCACACACTCATACACATCACTCACACATACATATCACACACAATCACACACACATACACATACACACGCACACACTAGACAAGATTGGATCTTTGAAGAGATCCATCAGGAACTGAGTCCTGTAATGTGCAACCAGCCTAGACAATTAGACCTAAAGTAGATCTTGTGGTTCATCCAACATAGATTGCGGCAACTGCGCAGTGATAATGTAAAAAACCGACATGGAGGTTCTTGGGTTGAGCCTCTTCGCATCACAGAAAAATAATGTGCAGGTACGTCGATGAGCGTCCACATCGATATCACAGATGACACACTGGCGTCTTCGTTGGTGCCAGTCCAGTGTGCATCCCTGGCACCCGCTGCATGTTAGTTACTAAATTAGAAGGAGAGAAAAAGAAAAACGGAGAAGTTTTACATCTATTCAGATGTTACACACACACACACCCGGCCGGAGCCGGGACAACCCTGAAAGGCAAGAGGAAGAAAAAAGCGGACACAGACGACGGGTAAAAGGCCAAAAACAGCGCAGGAGGGGGAGGGGAACAGACGGACCTCCAGAAGCAACCTACACGGCGAAACGGACCTAACCAGCACAGGGCACACACACCTAAACCCCACAACACATTACAGAGGGGCACGGGGGAAGAATTAGGGACCGATGGGGATTATTTGGTGACAGAAAGGAAACAACGAAATTAATATACAGGACCCAGTTCAAATCTAAAAGGTCGTGCGTTACTCCCCTGCGGGACCGTAGTCAAGTCGTGCCGCAATGGCAAAAACAGCTGGCCAAGTTCCAGCGAATTGGACGCACAAAATGTTCAACCTCACCACAAAACCATCAAAAGAAAAAAGGCCACACCTGCAAGCAAGGGCCTGCCTGGTTTTTGGGTCATGTTGCTGTTCATATGTCCCTTCAAACGCTGCGTGGACGAAAAAGATGTTTCTGCCAGTTCGGACTGGCTTCACACTGGCAGAAAGGCATTCCGTAAGATTCACTGGGACGGCAGGAGCAGCAGGACTTCCCGAAAAAAGGTGCATAACAGAAAGGCCGACTGTTACCCTTTACTTAAACGAATTACTAATTAAAAAATGTCAATTCGGTAGTCAAATCGTCGGCAGTCACCCTAAACAGGGTTGCCTCAATTGGCTCCATGGCACCATGTCGGAGCCATCATGGATATTACACTAGACAAGATTGGATCTTTGAAGAGATCCATCAGGAACTGAGTCCTGTAACGTGCAACCAGCCGCCTAGACAATTAGACCTAAAGTAGATCTTGTGGTTCATCCAACATAGATTGCGGCAACAGTGCAGTGATAATGTAAAAAACCGACATGGAGGTTCTTGGGTTGAGCCTCTTCGCATCACAGAAAAAGAATGTGCAGGTACGTCGATGAGCGTCCACATCGATATCACAGGTGACACACTGGCGTCTTCGTTGGTGCCAGTCCAGTGTGCATCCCTGGCACCCGCTGCATGTTAGTTACTAAATTAGAAGAAGAGAAAAAGAAAAAAGGAGAGGTTTTACATCTATTCAGATGTTACACACACACACACAGCTGCCCTCCCTCACTCACACACACACATCACACACAAACACTCACTCAGACACACACACACACTCATACACATCACTCACACGCACACACACTATCACACATACATCACAAACACACACACACACTCACACATACAATCACACACACGCACTCATACAGATCACTCACACATCCATCACACACACACACACTCACACACTCACACATACATCACACATACGTCACACATACATCACACATACATCACACACATACTCACACATACAATCACGCACACACACACACAAACACTCACACAGGTGCGCTGCCAAGGGCTCGGCTGTACGCCCCGCGGTGTCCCTCTGGCGTCCCTCCGGTGTCCCTTGGTCTCCGCCGCTCTGCCGGTGGCTTTTGCGTGGCAGGCGTGGGACAATGTGCGCTGCCAAGGGCTCGGCTGTACGCCCCGGTGTCCCTCTGGCGTCCCTCCGGCCCTCCGGTGTCCCTTGGTCTCCGCCGCTCTGCCGGTGGCTTTTGCGTGGCAGGCGTCGGACAATGTGCACTGTCTCCGCCGCTTTGCCAGTGGCTTTTGCGTGGCAGGCGTGGGACAATTTGCACACACCACATATATACATACATCACATACATACATCACATACATACACTCAAATACACATACATCACGCATACATCACACATACATACACACACCCACACACATTGCGTGGCAGGCACACACACACACACATCACTTGACTGTGCACTCACACACAAACACAGACTTGGTTGCCGGTGGCTTTTGCGTGGCAAATACATCACACACACATACACTCACTCACACATACATCACACGCATACACTCACTCACACACACACACACCACACACATACATCACACACACATACACACTCACACACACATACATCACTCACACATACACTCACTCACACACACATACATCACTCACACATACACTCACTCACACACAATTTTTTAACATGTGGGGTTATCCGGTCCTATAATATTGCATCATATAATATCATATATATATAATATATTAATATATATATATAGGATTATATAGGGTGGATTAGGGTGGTACAATATTATATAGGCATTGCAGGCAAGGGATTGGTCTGCAAATGCGAGAAGGATAATATCATCTGCAGAACTCCCCAGGAAACACTTGTAACACCGACGCCTGAGAAAATCATCCATATGCCGTGCGTGCAAAATGCGAAACCGTACGAGGAGCAATCACCAGTCAAAAACTCTTATTACTCCTTCTGCGAGAATCACCAATAATGACCGCATTGCTCAAAATGCAGAACTATTCCCACTCCTGACCTTTCATGATCTGATGATCTCTCGTGGTCTTTACCATCTCTACCCTGCTTGTGTGATGCCGAAACTGATTGCATCTTGCTTGTGAGTTGTGTGGATGCCAGGTGTTTCATCCTGGTCTAGGGAGCGGACATGTTGCCTGCAGCTCAAAAAATAGACTAAAGCGAGACAGGTTCTTGCTGGGAAAATCTGACGGAATCTGGTTTGCGACCCAATTGTTCAAAGGCCAAACAATGCTAAATATAACTAGACCAGGACCAAGAAGCATTCAAGAAGTCGCAGTTGCCATCCCTTCTGCAATTCAACAGTTCAAAATACAAGGACAACGCCTTCGATGTGTTTAAAGCTGATCTTCGTTCGCATTTGGAATGACCCAAGGCTTTCTGGGCAACGAAGAAATACAGAAAAAACATGAAAAAACAACAAGGTCCCAAAGAGGGCTCATGCATTGGGAAAACGGAGAGGCCAGCCTGTAGTCAGGAGAGGGCTCGCCCAGCAAAACCTCGGTCAAATTCATCGGTGGCTTTTTCGATCTTTTGCAATCATGCTACGCCATCGACTCGCCATCGCTGTGCACAGAAAACAATCAAAACATCGCCTCACAATAGTGTACGATGTGTAATTACGTCTACGTACATGTGCGCAAGGAAATGAGATCAGAGAGTTGTCAAGCAATATGCATCAAATGCTTCTTTCTTGCGGAACACAACACATTTGACATCTTTCATTTCCTTATTTCTCCTTACTCTCCCGATTTCGCGCCTTGGCAGCGCGTTTCAATCCGGGAGTGGTCAAAATATGCAGAGCTTGTGCCCGTTCAGACTTCGAAAGATTGCCCTGGACTTCCATGACCTGCCAACAAACAAGGGAATGCAACGGTTCCAAAATAGAAGTTCCGAGTTCTGATCACAGGACAAGACTTAAAATAGAATACACTTAAAGAGAACATACATGAATATAGAACATTATAGAATAAAAATGAATGATACAGAATTAATTAAACTATAGAATAAAAATGTAACAATTACATAAACATGTTTGACAAAGTGCAGAAAGGGAGACTTTTAACGAATTTAGAAAAGGAGCGTGGGGCAGCCCAAAGTGCTTCTAGTGCTGTGCAAAGGCTGTACCACGTGCAACTTGACTTGCGCAGGATATTTCTGACTCATGACTCATGCTGCCACTTCCGCTCCGGAGACACAAAGGTAAGTCCTACGTGCTCTACCTTGCTCTACCTTGCTCTACCCAGAGATAGAAGTTCAGCGTGGTACCGGCAAGTGCGGCAAGAACGCTTTAACATTCTTCAACACTGCATTCATCTGCATTCATCTGCATTCATCTGCATTCCAATCATTCCAAGGTTTTGGATCCAGTCAACACGTGCCAGGCTGTCCACGATGTTGCGATTCTGCAGACCGGCCGCGGCAAGTAAAGTCTTTTTGGCTGAGCCGTCCTCGGTGTCAACCACTCCACTGGATGCATTTTTCAGTGCAACACACAACCCTACATGTTCATACATTTTCTTCCTTCGCAGGCCATGTGTTCAGCATTTCAACTCTCTCTCTCTCTCTCTCTCCCTCCCCCTCTCTCTCTATTTGTGTAATCACCTTCAACTGGTGTGTTTTTCTTTCCGATCTGAAAGCATCACTGTCACTTTGATTCACTTTGCGGGTATTCGTTCGCTCAGTTCTGAGAAACAAACGTCTAGGGCATAAATGCCGAAGTTCATCTCCTTGGATTCAGCACGCCCCAAAAAACAGTTGCAACATGTTGCAACTGCCAATTCCTGAGCTTGCAAAGAAGTGCATGGTAATAGCATGCAATGCGAATCTTTTTTCTAAGGCTGGAACTGGTTTGTCATTGGAGTGCCTGTTTTCTCCAGCTGCAGAAAAAACAGGATAATCAGTGACAGTTCCCTTGCCATGCCTTCTAAAATGTCTTGCCGTTGTCACTGGCAGAAATCAACCTAACGTTCTGATTCTGGAATAAGCTCAGCGTTGGATATTGATACATCATGTTTATTGAGCAAATCAGACCAGCTGAGAAAGTTAGGCGTGCAATGTGTGCAAGTCAAACCTGCGACACACATGTCTGGAACAGTCTCAACACAACTTGTTCCAAGTGATTAGGTTGCGAAATCCCGTGCAAAGTCCGAAAAGCCCGGGCAGCCTTGTGGCATCTCTCCACGCGCGTTTGATGCCACTCTTCGTGCACCTGCTACTGTGCGTGGGCAACAAGCAGCTTACGGATGCTTACGGACTTCAAAAGTAGACATCCACATCATCATCTTCCAGGATTTCTTGGGGAAATGATGAGAACTGTGAAATAGTACCCCAAACTGCACCACAATCCAGTCTCCATGGCAAAAAGGCAACCCGAGCAGAAACACAGGAATACAATGGAATACATACCATAAACATGTTCTTCACATGATCTCACATGCTTGCATTAATTGGTGCTTCCAAAAACGCGGTCAAGACAGCACTGGGTACAAAATCGTGCAAATCTCGGAGCTACGGAAACCATCATAAACCATCAAAAATCATAAATCATCATAAACCATCACAAACCACCTAGCGTTATGCAACCGCTTCATTCACTTAGATTCGCTTATATTCACTTGAGACCACATGGTTGAACACAATTTAGTGAGACTCGGAGCACCAGTCAGCCATTTTGCGGTCACTGATCTCCGTGAACTCAGGGTGCTCTTTCAGAAACCTGGCTTTGTCAGACTTGGCAAGTCGGCATGGCCTTCAAAAACAAAACCATACAGAAACAGCGGGGAAACCGTAACTACACCCCAAACATGTAACATACAAATTATATCGACGATATAGAGCAATGCGGAAACATGTAACATATTGTAACATATTGTAACATGTCAACTGCTCCAGTTGGCTGAAGTAACCAGATAATTTGATAATTACCTAATCTACTAAGATATGTGGTTTGGTGATACCATTTGCGCTCCTGACTCCGATAAGCTTTCAAGTACTCATTGGACTGCCATCACACCCACTTGCAAGATCTTGCAAGGCTGCTCCAATGTGCTGCCGCAAGCCTTTCAAATCTGTCAACAACTTTCAATCGTTTTAGTCCAACTCTTGGTGAGGCCATCCCTTACGCAGTCAAGCGATGTCAAGCGTGGCTGGCAAACCAGTCCAACCAATGGAATGTGCCCTCTCCCGGAAGGAAAACTGGGAAGAGTACCTTGTGCCATCACAGCATGAGAGGATTTTCTCAGGGCAGAGCTTCCGGATGCCTATTTTGCTCTCCTTCCAACCATTTCCAACTCACCAGCCTAGTCTATATAATTCCACCCCAGAGTACAAATCATTACAGCAGCAGGCACTGCACCAATATCATCCAATATCCATAGGACAAAACTACCCTCAAACATTTGAAGCTAAGTGAAGCTAGAACAATGTGAATTTTGGTTCTGAGGCTTGACAGCTTGACCTATATATGATATATGCCAAAAGAAGTTGCACTTTGAAACTTTGAATTCAAAGGGGGGCCCGCTTGAAACAGCTCAAAAGTGCTAGACCAGGCATGACCAGGCTGGGAACCACTGCAGGCGTTCTTTTGTGGTAACATGTTGTAACACGATGTTTAATCTGTTGATTAATCAAGTCTGTTGATTCTGCCAACCTCTCCACTTTCCCAGCCTCTGGGCGACCATCACTTGGTTCAGGATACTTGATCCTGGAAACCTCAAAACGGCTTCCCCGGCTTCACGTTTGAAAGTTTGACACATGACCCCTATGACCCTACGGAATACTATGGTCAGAACCAGATGTTCGCCTATGCTCACATAATCTCTCATTTTTGGCCCGTTTTTAACAATTCTCTCACCCAAATCTACAGGGATTCCCTCCATTTTTCAATTATCTTCACCATTGGTCCCATGATGTCGCAGAGGCAGGAAGATGATAAAGTGACTAATTCAGGCTGGAAAGCTAGCACACATGTCGATCAAAAAACAACAAATGAATTGGAAGCATGCGTGCAAACACCAGTGATCTTATAGTGATCTTATAAGTTTGATTCCCTTGAAGGATCCTAAGGTATAACTACACATAACTACACATATTTGAAAATTAATTCTATTGACACCTGCAGGATCCTGCAGGTCATGTCACCAAGGCAGCTGACCATCATCCGAACTTTTAGCACGTGACGATGGTGACCGCCGGGAAAGTCCCACACGGTCCAACAGTTGACATGCAAGTAAGCGACATCTTCTTCAGCAGCATCGTTGATCATGCCTGGCGGAACGTGGAGTAGTGAGCTCTGCACGTCGCCAACATGACTCGGCATAACTCAGCTTAATTACTCATGCAGAAATTTATTGAAATTCATGATTTCATGTAGTATATATAGTATTCATGTTCGCTTGCGCAAGTGGTGCGACAGTACAGTAGTGTGAGCACACAGAGTTACAGAAGCTGCAAAACATGGCCGCGCTACGGCATTTGAATGGCAACTCTGCCAGGGGTAGTGGTCCAAAATTGACTTGCACCTGGTCATATCTTGTCATGCATCGGCAGAGCATCAGTGTGCCACTCATAGATTCCAGCGCACAATATAAAGATATATAATATAAAGGATGGTTTGAACATGCATAAGCTTTAGACCTGAATTTAAAGCACAACACATGTTGTGCATCGACGGCAGAATCTTGCTAAGGATGCTGCGGTCAAGTTCTTGAACGTGATCTAAGCCATTCACACCAGTCACTTGCATTCAGGACGTCACCAGAGTCCAGTGCGAGCCATGGGATGCCAACGCTCACAGAAAAAAGCAGCAGTAAATATGTAGCAGTATTTGTAGTTGACAAAGTCAGCAGTATAGACTCGTCGCGCAATCTCTAGACAAGCCACCATTGGAAAAAGCGGCTTTCCTTTCAAGATCTCGGGAATTGGTTGTGGCCTGTCAAGTGAGAACACGCCACCCCTGCCCGAACTGATTCTTTGCTTTCATTATCTTTCATTTTTCTTTTATTTTTCCTCAATATCTTTCGCCTATTTGTAATCCTTTATTGCATTGGGGCATGTCGGAGCAAATGGAGTGCAGAAATTTGCCCAAGGCCTTGAGATGCGCTCACCGTCACGGAAAAGTGACATGGTGTTGGCATCTGGGCCTGGGAATTCTGGGAATTGGAAGCGTTGGAAGTTTTCACGCATTCGCCGCATTCGCTATATCAACACTGCAGCCACTTCAGCCAATTCAGCATGATGCAAATTTCAGTGCAGTGTCAAAGTCAAACAGCGCTTCCAAAATCGCACAATTACGTGCAAGATGCGCAAGTGGAACTAAGAGCGGAACTGCATTCTGACATATTCTGAAGTTAACATAGATAAACCACGTGTCAATGGGTATCATCGATGAGTATGTGTATAATATATATATACACACATTTGTATACATTTGTTGTTTTCATGAAATCACCAACAGGCATGAGCTGTGGAGCGAAGAATGGAAAACCTGAGTGACCAAGGGCAAGATTCTGAGATTCTGAGGCTTGAGCCCTCCTCAGTCAGGTTCAGCAAAACCTGAGAACGTCTGGATTTCGTTCAAATCCTGACCAACTACTGAAAGTCATTGACACATGTTGATAGCATACCACCGTACATACGATACATACATGTATATATGATTATATATATAATTATATATGCAGTATACCGCAGTATACATAGTATGCAATTACACTTACTCAGTTTAGATACGGTGTACATGTGCTTACATATGCGTAGATGTTGGGACTGTAAACATATGCAAGATGTCCGATGTGTATGAATATATATATATATGAATTAGATATAGAAATTAAATGAAATGAATGCGTTTATATAATTATTACACATGTTCACATTGACTTGTTCACATTAGTCTGGAACGTTGCAGTGTGATGTCATGGGTCTGGAGTCGCTGCAGCCAAGGTAAGGACAGCAATTGCAACCCCGCTGACCAAGCGTTGTGTGCATTGTGTCCGCCTTCCCAGTGCACATCAGGAGAGTTTCCAAGATTTTCCGTCATTATCAGTCTTTCTTCGTTGGCGGTTTCACTGCTTCAAGTCAGTCCTCCCGTTGAGCTCAAACATAAATTATTGATAATTATTGTCTATTATATTCTATTATATAATATTATATATATATATATTGCAAGGTGGTACAGTAGCAACGCGTTGACAATTTGCAGAAAAATGGTAATCCTGCCTTCGATTGAACACGAAATTGCCCTCCGAATCGAAGGAAACGCTGTCCTCTGCGTCCCCCAGGAGCAAAGCCTTGGTGTCTTGATGGCATGTTGATGGCATGCTGATGGCATGTTGATGGTATATTAAGACATGGAATTAGATCGCAGCGTAAATGGTCTCCGAATGGTCTCCGGTTCCAATTCCCATCATTCCCAAATCTTCGACACCCTTGACCCACTTACAGTGCTCAAATGTAAATTAAGAGGATACTCACATGCACCCCGGGCACCTAGCCCACGCAGCTTTTGCAACCATGTTCATAGCATGTGGCGCGCACACAGACAACATCCATCTGCACATGGCATCTCCGAGCTAACGACGGCATTCATAGTACCAAAACCGATCCGGAGCAAATTTCGCGGCATTGGCGGTTTGACCTCAGTGTTGTATCGTCGGTTCATAGTATGGCATAATAGCATGCCACATTCATTTTCTGCAAATAGATGTAAATAGTCACATGGTCTGTCGATGTCTGTCTATTATGCTACAAGTAATGCTGGTTCCTGTCGGTAAGATTGCGGACTAGGCAAGTCATTTTGTTTTTTTCAGATGTCTTGATTCGTTTGATTCCCTTCCCCCTAAGGTCTGGTCCTGTGGTTGTACAGCATCTTCCTGTCCTGAGACTAATTGCTTTTCGTGGGTTCTCTGTAACAAAACCGGATGCTCGCGATTCGGAAAGTTATGCAAAAAACAAGGTAGTTTTTCAAGAGAGGCTGCAATGAGTGCAGGTACATCCCTGTCTTTTCCTGTCATCAAGGCAGTGCAGTGCTGGCACTTCTGCCAGCAGTTCTGCCTATATTGCCTATATGCAGAAGAGATCATAAGAGGCATTGGAATATTTGGGACACAGTAGAATAGAGTCTGCTCCCCCAAGCTACACGAATAATATAGGTCAGATCGAAGGGTCACACAAAAGCCTGATCCATGTTGATCCCATGAGTTCCTAGGCTTTAAACCACAAGCCTCTGAGGCCCTGTCTGGGACACTCGCAAACTCGCACCTCAAACATGTAGCGGCCTCAAATGGCCGGGCACAACCATCATCGCGGAATCAAGTACAAGAAAGATCAAGAAAAGATATAGTAAGATATAGTAGATATTGGACATCATCAAAAGTATGACTTCAGGAGCAGGAATGCTGCTAGTGACAGCAAGGGTAGCATCGATACATTGACTTGCTTTTGCAAATGGCTTCCAAAAGTGGGCGAATCGGATCTGGAAGCACAAATGGCTTCTGGAAGCACAAATACTATGTCGTCCTTCCAAATTCCGTTCAGGCAAACCCTCCCACAGTGTCAGTGATTTATTGCTGATCGCACAACTAGCTGCCGAAAGTGTGTGCTTGAAGCCAGTCATCCTCTTGGGTGAAAACACTGCTTTTGAATCAACCCCTTTTGTCCGAAGGACCACCCAATACACTTGGTTCAGAATCTTCAACATCGTCACAAGTCGCTACCGTACACCTCGCATGGACATACCTTACCCAATCATTTTGATTCAATCATAGCTGATCAACACTATACCAACGATGCTGGTTGCCCATCACAACAAGAGCAACAACGACAACAAAATCACAACCACAGAATACCACAGAGTGCAAATGACCACTCTGTGGAAATCACAATCTTTGTGACCTGCTCCCTCCCCACACAGCGGCGGCGACTCGATGGTGCTGAGGTGGTGGCCAGACTTCACACCGACGTTCGCTCTTGCTCCGGCCAAGAGGTACTGGAGACCTCCCTGAACGTTTCTTCGACAAGTTTTTTGATGCAAATTGAATCAAATTGATGTACTTTTTGACTTTTTGATACCTCTTAGAATATTCTTGGAATATCTTTGATATTTCCTCCAGTTGTCATGAGATCTCATGAGATTTCTTCTTGTTTCAAAACTATTGCTCGCTTTGCAGCCTGAAGGCCTGAAAGCTAATTCCAGGATCGAGTATGCCACGCTTAATCCCAAGTTCCATTGACACATTCAGTATGGCAGCTAGTGCTTAGTGACGAGCAAATTAATTAATTAATTAATTAGTGCAAATTGTGAGGGTACGGGTGGCCCGCGAGCAAACCTCACAGCTACTGGTTACAATATGTTACACTATGTTACAATTATTATGTTGATTACATTTGATTACATTATGTGACTTTACAATACTTTATACGGACATCCTGAGCACATGGCCTCACTAAGTGACATCAAGAGATCACCAGCCTCAGGAGAAAAAAAAAACATCAAGCTCCAAATGATGGACTGCGAGTTGGAGAGTCATGCGCAGCCCAGGAACAGTGAACAGGACAAGGAACAAATCTGAAAGGCCAAATCAATCCAAATCACAAATCCCACACGACATGTGGGAACACATGCAAATACCGTTTCTTGTGCTGCCTCCAGATGCTCAGGCTCCAACCATGGAGGGCATCAAGTTCAGAGTAGTATCTGGCACCAGGAATTTTGCTGGCTCAGACAACCGTTGCCTTGTATCTTCTGGCCTCATTTGCAAGACTTGGGTCCACCGTGCTCTGTCAAAGCAAACAGGCAATCATTTGGTGGAATCACACTCCCTGAATTTAGGATTCTAGGCAGTAAGGTTTAGCGGCTTCCCTGACACATTGAACAAAATACGTACATGCAAATCAAAGCTTCGGAGCATCACAACAGTAACGGCACACAAATAACAAACACGTCGATGGTCTACAGTCTAGGTCCAGGTCTTTCAAGCTCTTTCTACAACCCTAATTGTGTTGATTGTGTTGTAGAGTTGCAATCTGTTGCAATCTGCATTTATAAATTGGCATGAATCCGCGTGACATTCTGAATGAAGTGACTCGATTTGCAATGCCGAATTCTCCGCCTTTTCTTTCATTGAGGGTTGGAGTGGGCCACTGTCTGTTCAGCCCAAAAAGTATTCAAAATAAAAAAACATTCCGAAGCATGTCAGACACATTAAAACATATCAAGACATATCCCAAGTCGCTTTGGGCACAGGGTTCGGAGTTCATTCAATCTCATTTCAATCAACACTACCGTGGCAATGAGACCAAGGTTGCAGCGCATCTTTTTCTGTCTCAGTGTAGGTCTGCAAAAACTGCTGAACCTCAGAAAGGATAGGGAGTCAGAATCAAGAAATCAGTACTATTCAAGACTCGTATATAATTGTGAGCGGCTGCAGGAGCCAAAGAAGCATACAAATCGAATTCAAACAAACCTCAACAGTCCTTAAATGTCCCTAACTAAAAGAAAGCGGCGAACAGAAACAACTCAACCGAAAGCTCGGAGTGCTTGAACGAGAGCATGTCGCTGTGCTCCAGTCTGACCAGTCTCTCAATTCTGTCCACATCTGTCCACTATCACATCTCAGAGAATGGCTTCGACATTCTCATATACACCTGGCACAAGAATTCCAGTGCAATCTCCTAAAAACATCCAAAAATAGCACGCCTGCTGAAGGTGCAGTGGCAAGTTTTCTTGGAGGTGTGCTACCCCATGCTGCACAACCCTACACCACTTAACATTTTCTCGGCCTTGTGCGTTGGCCTGAACCATCCCAGGCTGTGGTGGCGGAGGGGGTGGCCTCGGCTTCAACGTCAAAGTCATGCAGCGCAAGACCAAGGGTGGCGATTCACGGCAACTCGCACTCTCTGGTCTTGTTCTATTTCATGATGTCATGACATGTCATGGTATATGCTACGGTATATGCAATGAAACATCATGCAATCTGCTGCAAGATCTTTAAAATTTGGACCTGTTGGACATTTGATGCAATTGATGTGTCAGCCACAGGTGGGCAAGGGCCCCGCGGCGGCAAGTTACAGCACATTTGCTGCGCGCCAGGAGCAGCGACGCCTGGCAACAGCGTCCAAGTTCCTTTGACAGTTTTTTTTCAAAGAAAACGCACGATGGCTGGATTCGAGAAGAAGTTCAAACACTGCGTATAAATCATTTGTTTTTAATGATATTTCAAGGATATATTCACGCATATTCATACAATCATACCAGATATATAATATCAATGTTATATCTCCCTCCATATAGTTCATAGTTACATATATGTATATATAATTTAAATACAAGTCCAATTGACTGTACTTTGAATAGTCTCCAAAGATATGTAAAAAGGACCTACATTGGTTTGCTCACGTTTGCCCATGTTTGCCCTACTTCATAAATGATCATAGATGCAAAAGGATGCAAGTAGCTCAGATAGCTCAGGAATGCTATAGAATCTAAAGAGACTTAAGAAAGACTTAAGAAATCATCGCAGGAAGTTTAGAAGTCAAACTCCCGACAATATGGACAGATGAAAAGCAGAGCAGGGCAGAGGCAGAGAGAAGAGAAAGATTAGAAGAGAGAAGAGTAGAAGAGAAAGAGTCAGAAGAAAGAAGATGCAGATGCGCGAAAAGGTAGGAAAGTCGCGAAACACTGTGTTTTTCAAATGATTTGTGGCTCCGGAGGATCGAAAAGTAGGCTTGCTAAAGCGGCGGGTGCGGAGCCAGCTGGCCAGATGAGAGATGAAAAATTGCACGCCGTTGTGGCGCGAAGCGCATTTCGTACAAAACACACCAGGTCCGGACCACTTTTGGAAGTTGAGATGTCGAAAAAGTGCACGCCGTTGTGGCGCGAAGCACATTTCGAAGTGAAAATGTACAAACTACTACATGTTCGCGCCACTTTTGGAGGTTCAGATGTCGAAAAAGTGCACGCCGTTGTGGCGCGAAGAACATGTCGAAGCGAAAATGTACAAAACACTAGGGGTTCGGACCACTTTTGGAGGTTCAGATGTCGCTTCGCCGCTTCGCTTCACTACACTACACTACGTTGCATTACACCACACTCCACTATACTACACTACATTACACTACACTCCACAACACTACAACTACAACTACACAACTAGACTACACTCCACTACACTCCACTACATTAAATTTCACTACACTACATTGCACTACACTACGCTCCACTACACTACACTACATTAAATTACACTACACTCCACTACACTACATTACACTACACTACGCTCCACAACACTACAACTACAACTATACAACTACACAACTACACTCCTCTACACTCAATTACACTACACTACACTACATTACCCTACACTACACTCCACTACACTACACTACACTCCACTACACTCCACTACATTACACTACACTACCTTCCACTACACTTCACTACATTACACTACACTACACTCCACTACACTACAACTACAACTACGACTACACAACTACACTCCACTACACGAAATTACACTACACTACACTACATTACACTACACTACACTACATTCCACTACACTCCACTACACTACACTACATTACACTACACTACATTACACTGAATGACATTGCACCACAGATAGACAGGTAGACAGATAGACACATAGATAGATAGATAGATAGATAGATAGATAGATAGATAGATAGATAGATAGATAGATAGATAGATAGATAGATAGATAGATAGATAGATAGATAGATAATAGATAGATAGATAGATAGATAGATAGATAGATAGATAGATAGATAGATAGATAGATAGATAGATAGATAGATAGATAGATAGATAGATAGATAGATAGATAGATAGATAGATAGATAGATAGATAGATAGACAGCTAGACAGCTAGACAGATAGACAGATGAAAGAGAGAGAGAGAGATAGATCGATAGATAGATAGATACATAGAAGATAGGCTGGTAGGTAAGTAGATAGTCAGAGAAAGAGAGAGAAAGAGAGGAGACCTCAAGCACCTTTCGGTCCATCAGTGGATTCGCTTTGCCATCCCTGATTCACAACAACCAACCTCTCCTATAGGTTTCCTATTTTTGAAACTTCCGCCACCGCCTTGTGCGGTACTACTGGTAGAAATTCCATGGAGCTCTGGTGCCGGGCCTGCGCCGTAAACCTGATATTGATCCATCATGGCGGCAGAAGCAAAACCGCAAAACCTCTCTGATAAAGCCGATTTGTGCTTCACAGCACCAGCTGCGCCAGCTGCACCAGCTGCAAGGGTTGATGATCCGATGCTGTTGCTGCAAGAACTTCATGTTATCAGCATTTATCAGCATTATCAGCTAAATCATAGTTAGAGAGCCAAGTCTTGTCTTGGGCAGTACGTGCAAATTCTAATGATCGTCTGAGATCTTAGGTTGCAACAATGTGTGGGCATGGGGCTGAACATGTACAGCATAAGTGTTCTTGCCTAAACCCAATAAAGCTACGGCTCTGCATACTCTTGAGAATGTGGACGGCAGAAATTCGACATAACATGACATGACATGACGTATTCATGCATGTCGGAAATGCGGGCCCATAATCTCTGATGCAAATCATGCTTTGTTTCGTGTCATGTCCTGTTCCTGCAAGAGACAAAAGACTTTCCCTGCCAAAAAACCGTCATTCATCCGTGCGTCCAGAGGTGCCCTGCGTGCCCATGCTTTTCTGGAGTCGGGCGAGTGCATGAATTGGTCGTCTGTGACAAAGAACGCAATCAGCCCTCGATGGTGTTTGTCAACCTAAGAAGTGACTCTGATTCCCGACAAGGTGACTTGTGAAAGCAGGGAGATTGACTTTGACTTTCAAAGGAAAAACCGTAGCGAGTTTCAGAGCATATCAAAGCATTCTGTTCGGACTTCCAGTCTTCTGCAGATTTCTGCAGTACCTTGCATGCTTTGTTTTATTCTTGAGCTGAGTGAGAAGCATGGAGAATGTGTCTTGAGAGCCCTGCATTTCACCAAACTCGCGAAGTTTTAGTGAGTATGGATGAGCCTGGCGTCGTAAAAGTGCCAGGACGTGCTAGAGCAGCTTGGAGCTCAAACGAGCTCAAGCTTGACATTGGATCTGCATGCTGAGGCATGGATCAGCTTCAAGACTCTGAGATGCAGTGGGTATTTCGCCTCCATGGCGTCAGCAACAAGGTCAACGACCTGACCGTTCTCAAAAAGTATCGCAGCATATTTCTGTCTTGTTGAGTCATCTGAATCTCTGAAGGTATCAACCAAGAAGTGACAGCAATGCAAACGGCAAAAGGACATGCACAAGAACCATATGAAGTATTATGAAGTATTATGAAGTCACCTCAGCAAAAACGTGTCACAATTTGGACATCCTATGCAGAAAAGTGGACGCTGGCACCTTGAGCTTGTGACACCGCCTAACATTGTCTTGGTTCTGCATAGCTAAGCCTCAATTTGAAGCATCTGAGCAAACACCATACATTCACCCCTGGCATATCCAGTTCCAGCGCCATCTTGCTGCCGTCTTGAGGTTATTTCAAAATATGTCAAATACATCCAGCATTGACCTTGCAAATCACTCACTCTGTACCTACACACATTCTCTGAGGGTGCCGGGGTGTGTGTGTGTGTGCAAGGAACACAATCCAACTGGTCTTTTTCAACCCATCACCTGTGGTGAAAGACACACGCCCAATTGATCTGATATATCATCTGGGTGCCACTCATTGTGCTGACATGTGCTGACCGCGCCACAAATTTCTTTGGCCAACTGGAACTTATGCTAAATCATGACTAAAGGACCAAGGAACTTTGCAAGGCGGATGCGCCAAAGGCTTGCACATTGGCTGCCTTTAGATCCTGTTGCATTGCCTGGGTTGTGGAACTTGAATTTGGAAACTTTCAACTCAATTCCGTTGTTTCCTCTTCCAATCAGTACAAATCACACATACTCGCGATCCTGGCTCTTTTTACAAATCACACCTACTTGCGATCCTGGCTCTGATACACCACAAACATAAAATGCTCTTTAGGATGTTTATCCTTAGGACGTTAAGAATCTTTAAATCTTTAAGGCCTATCAAATTGGTTTGGAACAGGCTTGGTCTCTGCATTCTCTGCACCCATCCCTACCCAGGTTGCATTGATAAAAAAATATACGCATCTACAGTCAATACGCCTTCGAGTCTGCTACACAGCACCCAGGCGCCTGCACAATAGCTTCAACACCCCCCATCTCGCCGATCCTGTGAAGGAATCTGTGTTTCGTTCTGCTCGCAACTCTGCAGAAATTGGGAAGGCATGTGACAAAGTGTGATGGACCGAATGCATCTTGATGTGCATGAAGTATGCACCAAATAGGCTGTCGTTGCCCCTCAGCCCTATGATGTGCAAAGGCCAAAGACAAACAAATAAACAAAAACATCCCGCCGGACCGGAAACCGTGCTTGGAAAAACACATTTTTTTTGTTCTAATGAGTATGGCACTGTGGTGAAACGCGAATTTATTTCATCAAAAACATCCAAAAAATGAATTCCAAAATTTGGGCGTTTTCGCGTTTTACCACAGTAACAACTCATTTCATCAGGGGTGTTTTGTGGACTTTGAAAAACAACATTTTTTCTGTCAGAAGATGCGTTTCAAAGTTTCGATAGTATTTCAGGTGAGGGTTGTTAGATTTTATCAGAGTTGTTCTCCTCCTCCTCGGCTAGCTGTCCTCCTCCTCGTCCTCCTCGTCCTCCTCCTCCTCCTCCAGTTTCTCCTCGACCATGTCTGCATCAACTTGCACCTGCACTTTCGGCTTGCCAAATCTTCGGCAAGCTCTTTGCCTTCCCAGCTCAGTGTGCACCGCTGGACCTCAACCTGGGACCTTCCCAGCTCAGTGTGCACCGCTGGACCTCAACCTGGGACCTTCCCAGCTCAGTGTGCACCGCTGGACCTCAACCTGGGACATTCCGAGCTCAGTGTGCACCGCTGGACCTCAACCTGGGACCTTCCCAGCTCAGTGTGCACCGCTGGACCTCAACGGCCAGATAGAATGCCAGAAGATATGCCACATAGAACGCGAGATAGCATGTCAGATAGAATGCCAGAAGATATACCAGATAAAATGCCAGAAGATATGCCTGATAGAATGCCAGAAGATATGCCAGATAGAATGCCAGATAAAGTGCCAGAATGTTTGCCAGATAGAATGCCAGAAGATTTGCCAGATAGAATGCCAGATAGGATGTCAGAAGGTATGCCAGAAGATTTGCCAGATAGAATGCCAGAAGATATGCCAGAACATATGCCAGAAGATATGCCTGATAGAATGCCAGAAGATATGCCAGATAGAATGCCAGATGGTATGCCAGATAAAGTGCCAGAATGTTTGCCAGATAGAATGCCAGAAGATTTGCCAGATAGAATGCCAGATAGGATGTCAGAAGGTATGCCAGAAGATTTGCCAGATAGAATGCCAGATAGAATGCCAGAAGCTATGCCAGAACATATGCCAGAAAATATGCCAGATAGAATGCCAGAAGGTATGCCAGATAGAATGTCAGATAGAATGCCAGAAGGTATGTCAGAATGTTTGCCAGATAGAATGCCAGAAGATTTGCCAGATAATATCAAAAGAAATCCCAGAAGATATGCCAGATAGAATGCCACGTAGAATGCCAAAAGATATACCAGATAAAATGTCGGAGAGAATGCCAGAAGATATGTCAGATAGAATGCCAGAAGATTTGCCAGTAACAAATCGATAAATGTCATGGTGGGGATCACACGAAGTAAAGTAATTTTCTGTAAGTTGGCATTGAGGTTTGTATACCTCCATTGCCAAGACTTCGCATAGAGCAGTAAATCGCGGCTTTGTGAGGACAAACTGTTGGGAATGTATTTTTTCCCCACCTGCCAGGTGAGGGTTGTTAGATTTTATCACAGTTGTTCTTCTCCTCCTCCTCCTCCTCCTCGTCGGCTAGCTATCCTCCTCCTCCTCTTCCTCCTCCTCGTCCTCCTCCGCCTGTTTCTCCTCGACCATGTCTGCACCAACTTCCACCTCAACTTCCGCCTTGCCAACTCTTGGCCAAGCCCTTTGCCAACTTCCCAGCTCAGTGTGCACCGCTGGACCTCAACCTGGGACCTTCCCAGGTCAGTGTGCACCGCTGGGCCTCAACGGCCAGATAGAATGCCAGAAGATATGCCACATAGAACGCCAGATAGCATGTCAGATAGAATGCCAGAAGATATACCAGATAAAATGCCAGAAGATATGCCTGATAGAATGCCAGAAGATATGCCAGATAGAATGCCAGATGGTATGCCAGATAAAGTGCCAGAATGTTTGCCAGATAGAATGCCTGAAGATTTGCCAGATAGAATGCCAGATAGGATGTCAGAAGATATGCCAGAAGATATGCCAGATAGAATGCCAGAAGATATGCCGGAAAATATGCCAGATAGAATGCCAGAAGGTATGCAAGATAGAATGTCCGATAGAATGCCAGAAGGTATGTCAGAATGTTTGCCAGATAGAATGCCAGAAGATTTGCCAGATACAGTAGGATGGCAGAAGATATCCCAGAAAGAATGCCACGTAGAATGCCAGAAGATATGCCAGAAGATATGCCAGGTAGAATGCCAGAAGATTGCCAGATAGAATGCCAGAAGATATGCCAGATAGAATGCCAGAAGATTTGCCAGTAACAAATCGATGAATGTCATGGTGGGGATCACACGAAGTAAAGTAATTGTTATTTTGCCAGCGGGCCGAAAACTGTGCTTGTTTTTGAGAACGTACAAGTACGTTACCAACTTCTTTTGTTTATGAGCCATTTTCAACTACGGTATTAACTTCTCTAACCACTTGCATGGGGTGCAACTTGCAACTACGTTGTTATCTCCTGTTTCAAATTGCGACTACGTTGCTGGCGGCTTTTGTAACACCAGTTGCAACTACGTTGCTATCTTCTTTTTGAAAGTGGAATTATGTTGCCGGCTTTTAAACTCAACTTGCAACTACGTTGTTATATTCGTTTGAAATTGCAACTAGGTTGTTGGCTTTTAAACACAATTTGCAACTACGTTGTTATCTCCTGTTTCAAACTGCAACTACGCTGTTGGCTTGTGCAACACAACTGGCAACTGCGTTGTAATTTTCTTTTGAAATTGCAACTACGTTGTTGGTTTTTAAATACAACTTGCAACTACGTTGTTATCTCCTGTTTCAAATTGCAACTACGCTGTTGGCTTGCGCAACACAATTTGCAACTGCGTTGTAATCTTCTTTTTGAAATTGCAACTACGTTGTTGGTTTTTAAACACAATTGGCAACTACGTTGTTATCTCCTGTTTCAAATTGCAACTACGTCGTTGGCTTTTGCAACACAATTTGCAACAACGTTGCTATCTTTTGTTTGAAATTGCAAGTATGTTGTTGGCTTTTAAACACAGTTTGCAACTACGTTGTTACGTTGTTATTTTCTTTTTCGTTGTTTGTTTTTAAACGCAACTTGGCACTACGCTGTTATCTTCCTTTTCAAATTGCATTTACGTTGTTGGCTTAAAAAAATGTCATGCTGGAACAATTGATGCTGCATGGTCTGCATTATATATGTAAATAATTACTTTACTTCGTGTGATCCCCACCATGACATTTATACGTTTTAATACTGGCATATCTTCTGGCATTCTATCTGGCATATCTTCTGGCATTCCACGTGGCATTCTATCTGGCATATCTTCTGGCATTCTATCTGACATTTTATCTGGCATTCTCTCTGGCATATCTTCTGGCATTCTATCTGGCATATCTTCTGGCATTCTATCCGACATTTTATCCGGCATTCTCTCTGGCATACCTTCTGGCATTCTATCTGGCATATTTTCTGGCATATGTTCTGGCATATCTTCTGGCATTCTATCTGGCATTCTATCTGGCATATCTTCTGGCATATCTTCTGACATCCTATCTGGCATTCTATCTGGCAAATCTTCTGGCATTCTATCTGGCAAACATTCTGGCACTTTATCTGGCATACCATCTGGCATTCTATCTAGCATATCTTCTGGCATTCTATCTGGCATATCTTCTGGCATTTTATCTGGTATATCTTCTGGCATTCTATCTGACATGCTATCTGGCGTTCTATGTGGCATATCTTCTGGCATTCTATCTGGCCGTTGAGGTCCAGCGGCGCACACTGAGCTGGGAAGGTCCCAGGTTGAGGTCCAGCGGTGCACACTGAGCTGGGAAGGTCCCGGGTTGGGGTCCAGCGGTGCACACTGAGCTGGGAAGGTCCCAAGTTGAGGTCCAGCGGTGCACACTGAGCTGGGAAGGTCCCAGGTTGAGGTCCAGCGGTGCACACTGAGCTGGGAAGTTGGCAAAGAGCTTGGCGAAGAGTTGGCAAGGCGGAAGTCCAGGTGGAAGCTGATGATGCAGACATGGTCGAGGAGAAACTGGAGGAGGAGGAGGAGGACGAGGAGGACGAGGAGGAGGACAGCTAGCCGAGGAGGAGGAGAACAACTCTGATAAAATCTAACAACCCTCACCTGGCAGGTGGGGAACAATCAAAAACATCCCGGCGGGTGGGAAACCACGCCGGCGGTTAAGCACTTTTGAAAAAACTCTTCTGGCGCCGTGCACATTTTATGATGAACATCACCTTAAATTTTCCCGGGGAAAGTTCAATGACTCTGAAGGAATGACGTGGTATTTACAGGGTTTTGTGCTGCTGGCGGGGGGGCCGCTTTTTCCCTGGTCTCTGGGCGTCTCACTTCTCCAAGCGTTTGCTCAGAGCGTGGCCGGTGAGACTGAGGAAGCCTGTGCAATTTCCATGTTGCCATCGCCATTGCCACATCCTAATTCCTTGAAGCAACTGAGGGTTCACAGCACCATCTTTACGTGTGCTCCAAGAGGTTTGATACTGCACCTTTGGAAATTTTCCACATTCCATCGATACCACCACCGCTGTGCACTAGCAAGTTACCCCATGTCTTTTTCTTGTTGATGCAAAAGGTGCCCTTACTATGATTGCAAGCTTCATGGAGCAGATTATTTTCAGAGGTCGGTTTAGGGTAGCATGGGGCACCGTCTGTCACCAAGATGCTTTTGCGACCAAGCTTGTGCGTAGGCCTCTTCTTCCACGGCATAGGCCCAGCCCTTGGAGAGGAGCACCGTAGCCCTTTCGAGCTCCCTTCTGCCATGACCCAGAATGGTCACTGTTCATTTGAATCATCAAAGCTTCTACAACCTTGTCCCAGTCAAATTCATTGCCAGCTTGTCCAAGAATTGCCTTCTGTTGCTGCATCGTTGCACCACTGTTTCGAAGCAGAAAAAATGCTTGAAGGTCAGTTGACAGTGTTGTATGACCCTGAGACAATGACTGCAATCGCTCATACTCATTCTCACGCCTTTTGATGAAGTCCTGGATGGGTTCACCTTGGCGACGTCGACCCTTCTCGAAGAAAAAGTTCTCGAAGGCCTGGTTCTTCTGGGTCGGTAGCGCACATTGCCAAGCACCAGTGGCACGAATGCGTGGCGCAATCTCAGGTGGAGGCTTTCCAGACTTGGAAGATGCTGCGACTCCCAAATCCAAAATTTGGAATTTCGCCCCCACCCAACCCCTAACCACTGACGTAACAGCAGCAAAGCATCCACGTGTGCACGCAAGGCACGTGAACGTTAATTTCCCACCCCCCCCCACCCAACCCCTAAGCACTGACGTAGCAGCAGCAAAGCATCCACGTGTGCACGCAAGGCACGTGAACGTTAATTTCCCACCCCACCCCACCCAACCCCTATGCACTGACGCAGCAGCAGCGAAGCATCCACGTGTGCACGCAAGGCACGTGAACGTTAATTTCCCACCCACCCCACCCAACCCCTAAGCACTGACGTAGGAGCAGCGAAGCATCCACGTGTGTACGCATGATGGCACATGAACGTTAATATCCCACCCCACCCAACCCCTAACCATTGACGTAGCAGCAGCGAAGCATCCACGTGTGTACGCAAGGCACATGAACGTTAATATCCCACCCCACCCCACCCCACCCCACCCGACCCCCATATTGAAAAAGTAGCACGACTACAAGCGCGGTTTTCCACCCGCTAGCAAAAACATGTATATATAATATACACATGTATTCTTCAAAAAAATGTGTTTCATGTGTTTCTATGTGTTTCTTCTGTGCGTCTCATGGATGAACATTGTTTGACCCGGGGCCTGATGATGCCAGCTGGATTTGGGACTATTGCAATCCACCTGCGATATCATCCTTCACAAATTCTTGGCTATGGGCCCTGGGCCAAACGAATTGGAATCCCCAAATTCTTTCTACAGAATTCAATTGTTCTAGTCTCTGCAACGGGTCCTCCGTGGGTGGAATGGCCAGATTACGGTTGTGGCTGTGTCTGTCCGTCCTTCTGCCTTCAAGTTCAAATTTTTCCCCTTCTAGTTTTACGCTGCCAAACGACTCACGCAGGCCCTCCTGATTCGCATTTCTGGACTATTGCATGCACAACCTTGGTTCTAGCGGCTGTCATCGGGCTCAAAATGGTTCAAAAGCATCCAAAAGGGCTATCAGCAACTGCTTCAAGCCCGCACGGCAATTTGTGCTGAATGGATATATTTAATTAACTTGTATGCGCAGTCCTTATACATCAAGAAGGGGTCCAAATAATCTCTCCAACGGTGACAATACCTGAAGAGAAAACACGTATCTGGGTGTGTCTGTTCACGTGTGTGTCCTGCTGTATGTCCTGTCTGCGCTACGATAGTCTGTCTATTCTACGGGGCATTCAATTAGTTTACGCGTAATTTTCAAATCTATTTACTATTTACTGTAATTGTTTCTGTAATCAAAGATATAAGTAATATATACTACATTATTTGCGTTAGTCTGCATGCATGTTTTCCACATGTGCCGCTCATTCTGTATTCAATGTGCAGGGCATGCTGCAAATGATATACCACTGCTCGTGATGCATGCGGATAATACTACATGCCGGGCATTTACATGCAATGTCATCCCGCTTCCTGATCTACTGTATGATGTACAAGAGGCGCCTGGGATGCCTGGAACGATACAATAAATAAATTGCATGATTGCATGTAAGTTGCAGCTTAGTTGAAATTCCACATATCGCATCGTAAAATGCCAGTTGAGATAATAAGTTTTAAAAAGCCTTTCCCCAAGGGCACACTGACTTTTATCACAAGAGTCACAAGATTCACAAGATCTTGCTTTCGGCAGAAATCACTCAAGAACCCACTCAGACTTAAGGCATCAGCGGCATTTTTCCGAACACGGATGCCACAATATCATGCAAATAATTCAAACTTTCACATCAAATCACGTCAAACATTGATGTAAAACAGCGCGCGCGCGCAAAGAAATGCATGTATACAGTAGGTGTGATATATTGAACCACCATGTGTGAGTATGCATATACATATATATAATATATGTCTGTGTGCATTTACAACGCACTATATATCTATCCCTATATATATGTATATGTATATGTATATGTATATGTAAATGTATATGTATATGTATATGTATATATATGTATGAATACGTATAATCGTATATAGGCATGCGGCATACCCAGTGTGTGTGTGTGCACAATAGGTGTGAAAGGATGCTTCCAAGGTGGCCCTACCAGTTTGAGCCTGGACCAGGTCCCCACACTTTGCAAGAGGGCGCAGCCAAAGGCCTGCAATGATATGCAAAAGCCATCAAAAGCCAATGTCAATGCAAAAATTCCAATTCTTTAAAAATCTGATCCAACGCTTTTGCCAAGGGCAAAGGTCTCTGAACGTTCCTGAGCCAGAAATCTTAACTCGCGCCTGAACTCTTGAATTTTCAGAGTGCAAACTCAACATTTCAATGGCGTGCCTCAGTGCAAAGTCGAATGAATTTGTGTGGCCGAGAGTTTTGCAAAGCCCCTGGAGCATCTTTGATCTGTGCCCAAACATGACGCTCGTCTAGCTGTACATAGCAAACCCTGGCCAAACGAAGCTCAGCATAGCACTCACACCCTCCAAGTTCTCCTATTTGGAGTTGGTTGTCAGCCTTGGCTCATTCACAATTCACTTCACAAGCTGTTCGCCGCTTCTCTATGCTGCTCTTGGTGACGGCAGCACCGTCAACATTCTAACTTCCCTGAAGTCCTTGACTCTTGAAGTTCACAACATTGTTCTTTCACGTCGCACAAACTTGAGGACTGGACTTCTGCCGGCGGGCAAGCTCAACTTGTACAGCCGGGGGCTCGAGAAAACGAAGATTCTAGGATTCTAGGGTATACCGAGGCTCAAACGCTATCCCATGCCAAGTTTGCCAAAGCTGCTAGGCCATGCCTCCAAAAGGGCTGGGGTCAAAACAATATTTTTTCCCTTGATTGAGTACCGCCCACAAGTGTGGTTCAATCTGACTAAGTTGAGCACTCTTGGATGGCTTGATAGTCCTTGAAATCAGTCAAGGCCTGACAAACCTTGGAAGGGGCGAGGCACAACATGGTGGTTGCAAGAACATGAAATAGTTTTGAGGTCTGCGCAGGCTTGCGGCGTGTCAATACAAGTACATAATGGACACAGAAGCTGGTTGAAACATGTTGAAACCATCGGGAACCGCCACTAAATCACACCAAGCTCCTGACAAACTGCACTCCACCATTTGCTGCGATCTGTCCGGGGATTTCTTCCTGGTTGGAGCTGCAAATCTTTGGGGTCAGGGTCACGGATCATCTTCGTTTTCCTATGGTGTTTGTTTCTCTTTGATAAGCGCGCAGTGCCACATCAACATTTTCCATGCGGTACAGAAGCGAATGCACAGCGGTGACAAACATTCGCCATGCATCATCGTCTGCAGAGATTGCTCGGAGGGCTTCCAGCGCACTTTCTTGCAAATCTGCTCTTTCCCTTGACACTAGCATTGCCTGCAGAAAACCCATCGCGCAACGGACAGTTCCGTAGCAAGAAATCAATTGGCAAGGCGAACAAAAAGGAATTTAATTCTACATTGACTCAGAGAGTCGGACCCGGACAATGTGCTTTGCACCATTGTGCTTTGCAATGCGTGCCTGGTGACAATTGGAACAGGAAACTCAAGAGCTGACCCATTTCCAAAACTGCTGGCTTTGCTGTACAAATTGCAACCGGAAACAAGGCTTGATCGATACCACCCAGGCATGCTCTTTGCATGCAAAAATGCTAAAAACCAAGGGGCCACAGCGGTTTGGTTTCCTTTGGCCAAAATAGCCATGCTTGCACAGCCCCTGTAGGCAAGCCTCCCACGCGCGCAAATGGCATCAAATTGCAATTCTTTGCAACATCTGCAGCTACGCGCAACTGTTGTGCTGCGCAGCTTCTGTGGCTCCCTTCGTCCTGTTTCCAGTTTCCCCCAGAGTCTCCGGACTCGTCGCTTTTGCGATTCGCATTCATGCCATCCAGGATCTTTGCGGAATGAGGCAAACATGGCAAAACCAAAAACAAAAAAAACGCCAACTTGAAATATTCTTGGATATCTCCGAATTATCGAGGCTGTGGCCGCTTCTATTCCTCCTGCAGAGACCACCTTTTCTCTCCCCTCCTGACAGAAAAGGCTGTGCATGCGTACGCTGCCTCCTTTGAATCCTACAAATTAACTTTGAATTCTAATCAAGCACACACACACATACACAGAGAGAGAGAGAGGGGGGGAAAAAAGATAGACATAGAGATAGAGATATCACATGATATTGAGATATAATGATAATTACAATGAAGAGGGGGAGAGAGAGAGAGAGAGATATATATATATGGCGAAAGAAAATAGACATAGAGAGATAGAGGGATTGAGAGATAGATAGAGAGATAGGGAGACAGAGAGATAGAGATGCAGATAGAGGGACATAGAGATAGACATGGAGATAAACATAGAGATACACATAGAGATAGACATGGAGATAAACATAGAGATAGACAAAGAGATAGAGAGAGAGATACTGTACAGATAGAGATAGAGATAGAGATAGAAATAGAGATAGAGAAAGAGAAAGAGATAGAGATAGGGATAGGGAAAGCGAAAGGGATAGGGACAGAGAAAGAGATAGAGGTAGAGAAAAAGAGAGAGAGAGAGGTAGATAGATAGATAGATAGATAGATAGATAGATAAATAGATAGATAGATAGATAGATAGATAGATACATAGATAGATAGATAGATGGATAGATAGGTAGATAGATAGATAGAGAGAGATAGAGAGATAGATAGATAGATAGATAGATAGGTAGATAGATAGATAGATAGAGAGATAGATAGATAGATGGATAGATAGATAGATAGATGGATAGATGGATAGATAGATAGATAGATGGATAGCTAGATAGATTGATTGACAGATAGATAGATAGGTAGATAGATAGATAGATAGACAGACAGATAGAAAGATAGAAAGATGGACAGAAAGAAAGGCAGAAGAAAGAACGATAGGTAGATTGATAAAGAGATGGAGATATAGAGATAGAGATAGAACCACAAATAGATTGATAGATGATTGATAGGTAGGTGCCAGGTAGATAGAGATAGAGACAAATAAATAGAGAAAGAGATATTTGCGATAAGAAAGAGATAAAGAAATAGAGGTAGACATAGAGGGCAAACGTCCCACTTGCGGCTCGGAAAAGCGCTCACTTGTAGCTCTGTCTCAAAGGCAATAGATATAGAGATAGAGAGAGGGAGAGAGAGAGAGAGAGAGACAGACAGAGAGAGAGAGAGATATAAGATAGAAGCATGAAGATAGAGATAGAGACAGAGATAGAGAAAAAGAGAGAGGAAGACAGATAGAGAGATAGAGAGAGTTAGAGAGAGAGAGAGAGATATAGAGAGAGAGAGAGAGAAATAGAGATAGATAGATAGATGGTTGGAGAGATCGATAGATTGATCGATGGAAAGATCGACAGATGGATCGATCGATAGATAGATGGTTAGACAAACCGCTGGCCAACCAGACAGACACAGCTATATGGATTGGATGGATTTCATTGGAGTGGGCTAGATCAAATCGAACTAGAATTGGGCTATATTAAATTAGATTGAGATTATGTACGCACACGCACACACGCACACACGCACACACGCACACACGTACACACACACACATGTATACACGTACACACGTATGTATGTATGTATGTATTTATTTAATTTTATTTATTTATGTATGTATGCATGCATGCATGCATGGGTGGATGGATGAGCGAGTGGATGTCTGTCTGTCTGTCTGTCTGTCTGTCTGTCTGTCTGTCTGTCTGTCTGTCTGTCTGTCTCTCTGTGTCTCTGTGTCTCTGTCTGTGTCTGTCTGTCTGTGTCTGTCTCTGTCTCTGTCTGCTGTCTGTCTGTCTGTCTGTCTGTATGTATGTATGTATGTATGTATGTATGTCTGTGTCTCTGTCTCTGCCTCTGCCTCTGTCTCTGTCTTTGTCTGTATGTACGCATGTGTGTACGTATGTATGTATGATTATGTATGTATGTGTATGTGCATCTGTATGTGCCTGTGTATGTGTATGTGTATATGTATAGGTTTCAAGGTTTGCAGCCTTGCAATGCGCCCTTTTCTTGAGCCAAACATGAGTAAGTGCGAACCAACCAATGCCACACCTAATTGAAGGAATGGTGGATCTAAAATACATATGATACAGGCTGTGTGGACCAACCCCCCGCAGGTCGGACTTTTACCCCCCCGGCCAGGGTTGGGCACGCAGCAGCGACGAGAAAACAAAAAGGGAAAAGACTAACCTGTCAACAGCTGAAAGAAAAAGGGACTATAAAGCCTCTCAGCCGCAGCAAGAACAAGCAAAGGGCAGCTGCAATGCTCTCTCAATGAAAGCCTGGATCCTGGTTCCAAAGTAGCCTTTAAAGCATACGTCCTTTGTAAGCCAGGAACAAAGGACCCTGTCGAATCTAGGGGATCCGCCGCTATTCTCTTAGAGATGAGTGATGTCTTGGGGACTACGGGCATTAAATGCTTGAAGCAACCACTGGTACAGATGGCTTTCATCAGAGCTATCCAGGGAAATGATGAGTGGCAAGAAGGCATTCTTCCATGCTCGGAAACCTCCTGCACTGTCAGGCAACGCGGGCATGCGAACACTAGATACGTCCTTCCATCTAGGACATGTATATACATGTATCCTCCTCATCATCGTCTTCCTGGACAGGTTTTGGGACTGCGGCCCTTTTTGGGGATTGCACACGCGAAACAGGGGAACGAACAACCGGCCAAATTCTTCTATTGGTTCTTCGCCCCATGACTCAAGTGCAACCAATCGTTGGTGAACATCATTCAACCGAACTTCAAAGGATGCCATCTTCTCAACACGTTGGTCAACCTTTTGTTCCAAAACTGTACCATTGAGCCTCATTTGGTCTCTAGCAAATTGGTTCTGACTATCGGCAAGTTGTTTACTCAAATCCTGAACCTGTTTTAGGAGTGCCTCCTCCCTGAGTCTGAATGCTGCAATCTCCTGCGATGCCTGAGAATGGTCCTGAGTGACCTCCTCAGGGGTTCGAGATTCGGCTTCTTCCACGGCTCGTCTGGCCTGAGCTTCCACTTGCTGAACGTGCATTTCTGCACTCACCTAAGTTTCAACGATGGCTCTTTGTGCCTCAGTACGTGTATGGTGTGCCTCAGTCTGAGCATGATGAACCTCAGTCTGAGCTTGCAGTACTGCATTAGCAGCTTGATTTACCAACTCAGGATCAGGTGAGGGTGCAACATACATTTGATTGACTTGTTGGTAGCTCACTGAACTAGTCCCCCGATCTCGAGATTCCATTTCATCATCCCTAATCGAATGATCAACTCTACCCCTACTGGCCGATCGCGCAAGCGCTGAGCTGGGCCT